TAAATCAGAGTCATATACTTCCAGATGTTTTCTCTGTAGTTTTAAGTGTAATAGTGCCTTCTGTCCAAATTTCTAAGTCATTTTTGGGTTGCCTCTACATTTTTTCTTTTTCTTTTCATGCCTGGCAGAGGTAAGCTGTGAACGTCTGTGGGAACTCACTAATCTTTGCTGGAATGTACCAGAGTGAAATGTTTGATGCTGTGAATTTCTGAATAAGAAAAGTTCAGCAATTGTATTTATAAATTAAAACATTTTGAAGATGACTTTTCCCTCTGGCAAGGTATGCCAAGCATTTTTGTACAGAACCCTCTCCTAAAATGGAGAAAGAACTGGGAGAGGAGAGTCAGGTTTCTTGTCTTTAACATGGGGTCCCTAGGGGAGGACACGGCCTGTTGTTTTCAGCCTAAAAAACACAGGCCAGTGATTGACTTGGATAACTCAACAACCACAGCCCCAATGCTGGCCTTCCTTGCTTCCTTTCTGCCAAGAGGGCCGCAGTGATGAACTTATAAGGCTGTCTGTATGATCTGGGGGAGCTAGACTTCTGTGGACTGAAGTTTGTTGGCTTTAAACAATGTTGGGCCACTTGCTGGTATTTTGTCTTGACAAAAATTCTGTTACTCCAGCCAATGTCATTGAGGTGAACTGAGGACAAACCCGTATCCCTTCTTTTCCAATCACTAATGGGAGATGATAGCTGTAGAAACATCAGTGGTGTTTCTTAAAAGTAGATTGTTGGAGTTTTTCAAAAAGTGAGGGCCTGTCAGTGACTCCATCTCAACTGACTATAGTGTGATACAGGAGTTGGAGGAGCGGTAGCCTGGACATTGGGGGAGAGGCAGGCACTTGGAGTGGTGGGTGCCTTGAAGGACTGGGAGGAAGACAAGACTATGAACACACTATGGCAGCAAGTAGTTGCAGGGGGCGGGACAAATTTCAGCCCCATGAGTTAAAGGGAAGGGGAGACATAGGTGAAAAGGAAATGGCTCATCAGAGTGTGATACCAAGAGATTATGGCATGTGATCCGACCAAAATGTATCCATAGATGCCATGATGCTGATTTCAGGGGTAGCAAGAGGTGTGGGGAGGGTGGGGTCCAGACGTGGAGGATGCTGAGCTGCCTGTGTCATAGTCAGGAATTCAGGCACAGAAGTACAAGGAAGAAAACCTAAGTTATCATGACCTAAATGCAGCCGTCATGGTAGCAGAGGTGACTGGGGGTGTAGAGGTAACTATTGTGGCTACCGTAGTTGGAGCTCTTAAAGTCTTTGGAGCCTCAGATTGGAAGCTGAAGTGGGGATAAAGTGAGGAGGAAGAACTAACATAGTTCCTGGACTCCATCTGGAGTTGATTTTTTTTTAAGTTGTTACATCTAAACATTTTTATTTTTTTAACTTTGATTGTGAAGGTGAAGTGCAGAGGGGTCAAGTAATGAGTACGTTTCTTTTTGAACAGGGTTACCCCTTCCTTCATTTTCTCCCAGTTTGTCCCCTATTGACCACCTCCTCCACAAGTTGTATAGTTCATTTCTGACATAGTATCTAGAGAGTATCTCTGCTGAATTAGTTTGCTCTTTGTCCCGCCATTCACTCTCCAAATCAGATAAACTTACATACAAGACAAAGGGTGCAGAAATAAAAAACAGCAGCAAAAGGGAAAAACAAAACAAAACAAAAACTCTGCAAACAGTACAATTAAAAAAAAAAAAACCCTCTTTCTGTTTCTTGGAGTTCATTTCAATAAGCATTTTATATGATCATGTGCACATAGCTATTGAACGCTTGTGTTCTTCTCCTAATATCCTCCTTTGTCCTCACTGTGTGAATGTTTATAGAGTCTAGTTTAGTTTATCATATCCAAGTGTAATTTGTTATCTTTAACCATCCATTGGGTTTACTTGTAGACTTATAGGAATATTCTAATTATTACAAATGCAACCTATGTTTCTTTGGATCTGGCTTAATTTACTTAATTAAAGTTTTCAAGTTTTTCTGTTTTCTTATGAACGGGGAAAGGTCATTCTTTCTGATGGAAACATAGAGTTCCATGGTGTATAAATACCACATTTTCTTGATCCATCTGTTCACTGAGGGGCATCTGGGTTGATTCCATATCTTAGCTATGGTAAACAAGACTGCAGTGAACATGATTGTGCTGGTGCCTTTAGTGTGGTCTTGTTTGTGGTCAATTTGATAAATGCCCAGGACTGGGATTGCTGGGTCATAGGGAAGCTCTATGTTTAGTCTTTTTGAGGAACCTCCAAATTGCTTTCCAAAGTGATTGAACAAGTTTACATTTCCATGAACAATGCAATAGTTTTCCCTTATGTTCACATCCCCACCAGCATCTGTTATTGTTAGTTTTCTTGATAATGGCCATTCTAACTGGATTGAGGTGGAATCTCAACGTTGTCTTGTTTTGTGTTTCTTTTAGGGCCAGAGATGCTGAATATCTCTTCATATGCCTATTGGCCATTCTTACTTCTGAGAATTCTCTAAGTGTTTTTTTTTTTTTTTTGGTCCAGTCGTGGGGCCTGAACTCTGGGCCTGGGTGCTGTCCCTCAGCTCTTCAGCTCAAGGCTAGCGCTCTACCACTTGAGCCACAGCGCCACTTCTGGCTTTTTTTTCCTTCTGCTTATGTGGTGCTGAGGAATCAAACCCAGGGCCTCATGCATGCAAGGCAAGTGCTCTACCACTGAGCCAACTTCCCAGCCCCTCTAAGTTTTTAACCCATTTATTAATTGGATTGTTGTTTCTTTGAGGATTTGTTTTGAGGGGGGGGTTAATTTTTTACCTTTAAGTATATATTTAGAGATGAGGCCCTTGTCTGATACATAGATCTTCTCCCAGTTGGTGGGCTTTCTATTTATATTGCTAGCTATGTCCTTTGCCATGCAGAAACTCTTCAGTTTGATGCAATCCCATTTATCCAGCCTTTCTTTGATTTGTTGTGATTCTGGATCTTTATTTAGGAAGTTTTGACCCATGCCTAGGAGCCCTTGTGTTTCCCCTATCCCTTCCTGTAATATTTTTGTGGTATCTGTCCTTACATTGAGGGCTTTGGGCATGATTCTGGTGCAGGATAATATACAAGGTACTAGATTCAGTTTTCTGCACATGGTTAGCCAATTCCACCAGCACAATTTGTTGAAGAGGCTGTCTTTTTTCCATCCTGTGTTTTTGGCTCCCTTATCAAATATTAGGTGACTATAGGTCTGTGGGTTCATTTCTGTGACTTCTATTCTATTCCGTTGGTCCTCAGGTCTATTCTGTGCCACTACCAAGCCATTTTTATTATTATGGCTTTGGATAGTTTCCAGTTTGGTATTGATATTCCTTCAGCACTGTTCTTCCTGCAAAGGATTGTTTATTTTGCTATTTGGGGTCTTCTGTTTTCCATATGAATTTTTGGATTGCTTCCTCTAAATTGTTAAAGAATGCTGTTGGGATTTTGATGGGTACTGCATTGAATTTGTAGATAGCTTTGGACAGTATTGCCGTTTTCTCAATATTATTCCTTCCAATCTAGGAACATGAAAGGTTTTTCCAGTTCCTTAAATCTGCTTTACTTTCCTTTTCCAGGTTTTTAAAGTTTCATTATAGAAGTCTTTTACATCTTTGGTTAATTCTTGCTTTTTTTTTTTTTTTTTAGTCTATTACAAATGAAGTTGCTATCCTGATTACAGCCTCTCCTCATTGTTGGCATACAGAAAAGCTACTGATTTTTGTGGGTTCATTTTATACCCTGCTACTTTGCCAAAGTTTTGGAGTGGAATCTATGGGGTTCTTTAAATACAGGATATGTCATAACATTTTTATTCTTAACACCTGAGGAACCAGAAATAAACCTGTGCCAAAGCTAATGGCCTGATTATCTAGGTCCTGGAGCTCCCTCTGTCCCAGACCACACATTTTCCAGTAGAATGGGTTGTGGTGGGCTTAGATTTTTACCTTATCCCAGCTCTATTGATTTCTCCTAACTGTGTGTGTAACAGTGACCAGGTTACTTGGCCTGTCTGTGCTACAGAGATGTGGAACTGGAAGTGTGGCTTAGAAAGCATGAAGCCCTGAGTTCAAGCCCCACTACTGACAAAAATAAAACAAAACTAATAAAATTGAAAATATATTAATGGAACCTTTGGAGCCATGAGCTACATAATTGTGAGGGTTTAATGAAGTGGTATACAATACAAATCCTGCCTGGCATTAACTATTGCATGCTACTTAGAACTTTCTGAAGGGAAGATTTCACGTGTCAGCAGTCATTCATCCACTGTCTCATGGACAGATTATATATATATATATATATATATATATATATACATACCATGGGGTCAATACTGCAGAGGAAGAAAGCAAAGTCATTTGTGTTTATTTAGTGTTCAGAATTGTTTCAAAAGTAAGATTTTGGAAGTAGTGAATTTTAATGAGAAAGTGTCAGATTTACAGCCAGAAAGCTGGAGATTTGAGTCCTTCCTTGATGACTCACTTCATGACTGTGAGCTTAGGGAATTTTTCCTATGTCACTCACTTATCTCTGAATCTAATCACAATAGAGATGACAGCCCAGCTTGCTTATCCCTTTCCAATTAACTAGCAAAAATCTGGCATTGAAGCTGTGGCTCAAGTGATAGAGCACCAAACGAGCAAAAAAGCTGAAGGACAGCGCCTAGGCCCTGAATTCATGCCCTGGTATCAGCCTGCATATGTGGGTATGTGTGCACACACATAGTATTTTTAAAGAAGAGTCGGTGCTGGACATTTTTATTCCCTGAATATAAAACTACTAGAAATAAGAAAACTTTTTAGAGAATCAGCCAGAGGATCTATTCTGGAAATGAAACTTGAGATGCAGGTTTGATACTTAATAATTTAATATGGTCTGCACATGGCCATCCCACACAGGTGATCATTTAGTCAATTTTGCAAGGATGCCTGTCTCCTTCCCTCCCTACCATTCTCTCTACAGCAGCTCTATTGTTTCCTTTCTGCCCCTGCAGCAGACTCAGGCCCTGCTCCAGTGAATCCTTGCCATGATGGAAGCCATGTCTGTGACTCGACAGCACAGTGCCATGCAGGGGCAGGTACAGACTACACCTGTGAGTGTGCACCTGGGTACCAGGGAGATGGACGGAGTTGTGTAGGTAAGAGACTGCTGTGCTTCTGTCACATGACCCTGGTTTTCACTTTGCTCTCAAAGTTATCTCTATACATCTTTATGGTCTCTATGGATCTGTGATTCTATCATCTGGATGTCATTGTATAAAAACTAAAGCATGGCCTGGTTTAGGTTTGAAATGTTAATTGGAGTTTGATATTTGGGGTTGGGACTATGAAAAGAAACCATCTTTTGTAATTCTTAGATCTTTTAAAGTTTTTGTTAGAGTATATATTAAGTAGCTCTTAGACTGTTTTTTGGTTTTTCTTAAATGTTAGGCATTGTCTTTCTTTAACCTATTATGTCTCCAAAAGCTGCAGTACATATTTCTTCATATTTGAAAAAAAAATCTTTCTTTCTTTCTTTCTTTCTTCCTTTCTTTTTCTCTTTCTTTCCTTCTTTCCTTTTTTCTTTCCCTCCCTCCCTCCCTCCCTCCCCTCCCCTCCCCTCCCCTCCCCTCCCCTCCCCTCCCCTCCCCTCCCCTCCCCTCCCCTCCCCTCCCCTCCCCTCCTCTCCTCTCTCCTCTCCTCTCTCCTCCCCTCCCCTCCCCTCCCCTCCCCTCCCCTCCCCTCCCCTCCCCTCCCCTCCTCTCCCCCTCCCCTCTGTTTCCTTCTTTTCTGGTATTGGCATTTGAACTCAGGGCCTGGGCACTCTACTACTTGAACCACAGCTCCACTTTCATCTTTATGGGGTTAATTGGAGATAAGAGTCACAGGTCTTCCAGCCTGGGTTTGCTTTGAACTGTAGTCCTCAGGTCTCAGCCTTATGAGTAGCTAAGAGCTACTGATACCTGGCTAGTATTTTTCTTCTAAATACCTATATTTTAATATGTAAAGAATTCTTAGACTGATTATTGAAAAATTACCTCCCTGTGACCCTGGAAAATCTTGAAATAAATTTTATTACAGCTAATGATCTGCAGCTTGCATTCATACCTGATACTTAAAAATCCTGTTAAAAGTGGGGCACTGTGGCTCACATCTGTAATCCTAGCCATCAGAAGACTAAGATCAGGAATATCATGGTTCAAGGCCAGCCTTGACAAAAAGTGTGAGACCCTGTGTGAAAAATAATGAAAGCAAAAAGGGCTGGAGGTATGACTCCAGTGGTGGAACACCTTTCTAGCAAGAGCAAAGCTTTGTGTTCAAAACCCAATACTGCCAATAAAGAAAAGGAAATCCTGTTTTAACTCCTGTTTTAGTCCCACTGAGGCCTTACCATGCTGAGAAAACTGTGTCTTGAGACTTTCATCTTCTGGAATGCTTGAGCACTTTCCTGTTCTCATTTTTTCTTAGATGTAAATGAATGTGCAACTGGCTTCCATCACTGTGGCCCCAATTCTGTATGTATCAACTTGCTGGGAAGCTACAGGTGTGAATGCCGTAGTGGCTATGAGCTCGCTGGTGACCAGCGCTCTTGCATCTGTGAGTACCAGCTCATTTGTCTTCAGCCAAAATGGTGATGTATCCTGCTCTTTTCTTCATTTTCCTTTCCACTTGTGCTGTGCAGAAGCTCAGCCATGTGAAAACTCATTATAAATGGATAGAACTCAAGGTTTCTCTTCAGCTTGGCCCTATAAATTGGTTTAACATCATGGTTTTCCTCCCACTAAATATTTATGGTGTTGAGTTACTGGAGGTAGCTCTCCTCAGTTGGGATTCTTAGCTTCATGATGTAACACAAGATTGACAACAATCCAGTATGTGAGAGACCATCTCATATCTTGATCATTGTCACCCCTTCCGTCATTCTCCCCTCCCCGCAGGGCCCACCCCTCCCCCCGCTTTAGTTCCACAGTTCACTCCCTGGTACCGAACAGGACTATATAGTCCTCAGTTTAGAATGAGGAGCTTGTCCCAGACTAACATAATAGTACATACCTGTAGTCCCAGCATTTGGGGGACTAAGGTAGGAGGATTGAGTTTGAGGCCAAACTGGGCTATGTAATATAGACTATCTTTAAAAAAAAATGATGCACTCCCATGTCATGAGACAAAAAGCCCCATCCATAGTAAATATGCCCTTTCTAGGGTGTTCCAAAACACACTTCAGACTTAAGAATGGATCCAAAAGAACTCTAGACATCTTCAGTTCATCTGGCTGATGGAGCTAGATAAAATAGAGAAATTACATGGTTTAATCCAGTGGTATAACAAAACATTGGAGACAGTAGAAACTCCTCTTGTGTGTGTTCATGCACGCATACTCTGGGTTGTTGTAAGTTTGCTTGGATGACTGATTTTCATGCCTAGTGTTTTAAATGGACACCAGCACCTCTCTAGCTCTGCTATGCATGTGAATGGTGTAGGAGGACTCTTGCTCAGTTGAGATTCTGCCCTTGGTGGCCCTTAGAACCTGCATTCTTGAGCGTCTCAGGTCAGCTGCTGGTGCTGTGAGGAGTAAGCCTCGCCGACTCTCAGGCCTGATCTCTTGGCTGTCTTTCTTTTCGCAGTGATTGCCCCACCTCCCAACCCTTGCGAGGATGGCAGTCACACCTGTGCTGGACAGGCCCGGTGCATTCACCATGGGGGGAGCACTTTCAGCTGTGACTGCCTGCCAGGTTATACTGGCAGCGGGCACCAGTGTTCTGGTAAGTACCTGTGGTCAGACTTGAGCAGGATGGACTGTCATCTTGCTCCCAGGAACCATCTCTCTTCTTTGCCTCAGGTAGCCTTGGAATTGGCAAAAGAGAAAAGAGCTCTGTAGAATCAGAAGGGAGGGAGGCCCAGGGTGATTTCTGTGGGCCTGGATCAGCCAGTGCATGTGGTCATCTTGGGAGAAGAGATTCCTGGTGTGGGTGACCACTGCCAGCTTGTGGCCTTCTGTTCCTTGGAGCTAGGGTAGGCTGGTGGGACTCACTGTCTGTTCTAGGTAGGCCTGTCCATTAAACATCTGGTGAGGAGGAGGGGGCCATGCTATCTTGATCTGCTAAGTAGCTCCTGGGAGCCAGGAAGATGAACCTGTTTTGTTGGGGGACAGGGAGAGTAAGGAGGAGGGGCACACAAATGGAGAGAGAAGTAGGGGGCAAAGCAGCCATGATATAGTCAAAGTACCTTATGTAAAAGTGGAACTGTGGAATTTGAGGATATAGAGAGGGAGAGATGAGGGAGAGTGATGGAAGGGGAGACAGTGATCAAGATACTTTGTGCTCATATTATGGCTTATTGAATCGAAACCCCTTTGTATAACTATAATTTTTTTAAAGCTCCCAAGAGTGAGCACGTGAGCTGAGTAGGCCCCTGTGAATGGTGGCAGATGGAAACAGCAATTCTAAGAAAGGGGGGATTTTTGCCTTTTAGGTTTTTGTTCTCCTTTCCCATCTTCACTGCTTTCTCACTCTCCCTCCTCATTTCACCATAACTGTGTGTCACTAACATGAAGCTGAGTTTCCTTCTGATTATCCACTAGTGTTCATGTGTCACTGACATGAAGCTGAGTTTCCTTCTGATTATCCACTCGTGTTCATGTTGCTCTACTGAATAGCCTCTCTATTAAGGCACTACTGGTCTAGTTTCATGAACATTTATACAGAAGGAGTTATGTCTAGTCCCAACAGCCTCACACTATTTCTGACATATTTCTGCATTCTAGTTTAGTGCTTTTATCTGCTAAACTTCATTGTGTGAAGTCTGGAAGAAATTTCAGAGAGGAGGTGTTGAAACTTAAGGTACACATTATATCTCTAGTGCACCTAGTCCCCCCTCCCACCATCTGGAATGGCTATATTTATTATAGGTGAGGGATACCTTGTATATGTGTGAGGGTCAGGAAGAGAATAATATGGGAATAATGCCTTTTATACTCTTGTGCCCTTATTCAGTCTGATTTTATCCACTCTCAGCTGTAAGAATGCAGAATTCCTGGAGAGCAAAACTCTTTTCCATAATGAGGTTGCATAATAAACATCTGGTAGCTTGTGAACATGCTACTTTTAGCTAGGCACCAGTAGTTCACACCTGCTATCTTAGCTACTCAGGTGGCTGAGATCTGAGGATCAAGGTTTCAAGCCAACCCAGGCAGGAAAGTCCATGAGTCTTTTATCTCCAGTTAACCAGTAAGAAGTCAGAAGTGGAGTTATGGCTCAAGTGGTAGAGTGCCAGCTTTGAGTGAAAAAGCTAAAGGATAGTGCCCAGGGACTGAACTCCAAACCCCTAGTACTGGCCAAAAAAAGCAAAAAAGATACTTTTAAGATATTTAGTTTCTTAACTATCCATTTTTTGACTACTAGAAATTAATTGCAGCCTATCTGTAGTGAGTATCAGTAACCACACCCTAGTTTAGGTTAGGTGTTTCTTTAATCTCTTCTAAAATCATTTTCTCTTTCCGTTTGTCCTGCAAGACTTTGGTTCCCTTCTGCGATCATGTTAAAACCCTGAAATTTTGCGTGTTTCGAGTTTTAGGTTATTGCTATTGGGGGTTATTGTTCTCTCATTTCATTCACTTGCAGTGGTCCCTCTTTTATCTCTGGGTCTTCTACTTTTTGGATTTCCTCTGGAACCCACAAACATGCTAACCGCATCATTGGCTTTCCCAGTTAACAGTTGTGGCTGCAGATGACCTGGAAATGTAGTAACTTGAAATAAGACACACAGGTTACCTGTGCGTCAGGGGCCTGGGTGTGGCATAGCCTGAGCTCTGTAGCAAGGCGTCTGGCAGATGGACTTCCCTGACAGCTTCATGGTGAAGGCTCCTTTCCTGGGCATCGATGGGAATCGATGGGCATCTGCACTACTGAATGGAGAGCCTCTCAGTTCCTTTGTTGGCTGTTGCCAGCCTCCCATTCCTTGCCACAAGGCACTCTCTTAACACGACAGCTTGCTTTATTAAAGCCAGCGAGACAAACCTGCCAGCAAGATGAAGTCATCATCTCAAACGTGGCAACCCTTAGTGTGTGGCTTTCTTGCGTGGGTTATAAACAAGCTACAAAGGGAAGGGGATTAGATGAGACCATGCACATGTCATGTGTTAGGGATCAGGTAGCGTTTTAGATTGTGGGGCAGTCAAGATGGAATAGTTGTTTTCATAAAGACCCTGATATATCTGGCTAATCATGAAAGTACCTTCCAGGATTTAGTTTTTATTTTTATTTTATTTTATTATTTTTTGTTAGCCATGGGGCTAGAACTCAGGGTCTGGGCACTGTCCTTGAGTTTTTTTGTGCTCAAGGCTAGTGCTCTACCACCTTGAACCACAGCTCCACTTCTGGTTTTCTGGTGGCTAATTGGAGATAAGAGTCTCACAGAATTTCCTGCCCAAGCTGGGTTTGAGCAGTGATCCTCTGATCTCAGCCTCCGTAGTAGCTAGGATTACAAACGTGAGCCACCAGCATCAGGCTCCTTCCAAGATATTTATACCTGGAAGTAATATCTATACACGTATTATTATATAGGTGTGTGTGTGTGTGTGTGTGTGTGTGTGTGTGTGATTTCATAGTGTGTGTCTTAGTGAGCCAGGCATCTTTGAGGGAGCCCTGTTTGGTGGGATGTGTACCTTCTTGAAGCACATACACGTTTTGACTTCATAAGAGGAGTTGTGGGCATTTCTCCAGCCATAGCTATGCTATGACTTCCTGAAAAATCTACGTTTGGATTTGGGTTCTCAGTCCAGTTTGAGTCACTAGCCGGAGGCTTTTATCCAAATAGACTTAAATCTTCTCCAGCTTCCCTCCATCTGGAGAGGTTTCAAGCCTGGCTAGTTCTCAGGCACATTTGTCCTTCTGGTGCAAAAGCAGATTGTCTCGTGTTGGAACACTCACAGGGAGGAGCAAGTATGAGTTGAGGAAACTGGGGTACAGATGGCCTGTTACCCAGAGCAGTCATTGCCCGGGAGTGGAAGGAGCGGAGCCACTCACATTCTGCTCTCAGATTCTCATTCTCCTACTGTAGATGTTGGGTAAGGCATGCTGAGTGCTTACAGGTCCTGGGGAGTACTCCACATGCCACAGGAACACAACCAGCAGGGTGCGTGACTAGACAGAGTACAGAGAGAGAGAGAGCAAGGACCTGTGGTTCCATGGGGGAGATCAAGATTAATTGGCCACAGGCAATTACATTGGGCTGAAAAGCAAATGGGTGGTGGCGGGGGAGAGGGCTAGAGTTCAATGGCTGTTTCTAAGTGTGTCCAGATGGCTCTATTCAGAGGGAAGGCAGGAAAGGCTATCATAGCATCAAAGCATGAGCTCCACTTGGAGCTCACATTTTCCAAACAGGTTCTTTAGGAGCTTAATAGGTGATAGAGAGGAGAGAATTATGTTGGAGCCTGGAGAATTATGTTGGGCACTGCGGTTCCTCTAATGCCCTTGAATTGATATCTGTCTCCCAGACACTGACCAAGTATAGTTGGAGTTTTTCCCCCTCCCCACCCTCCCCCACAACAAAGAAAGTTTTTTTTTTATAGTTTGTGTGTGTGTGTGTGTGTGTGTGTGTGTGTGTGTGTGTGCGTGTGCACCAGTCCTAGAGCTTGAACTTAGGGTCTGGGTGCTGTCGCTGAGGTTTTTTTTGCTCAAGGCCTAGCACTCTACCACTTGAGCCATCACTTCTGCGTTTTTGTTTTTGTTTTTTGGTCGTCGTGGGGTTTGAACTCTAGGCCTGGGCACTGTCCCTCAGCTCTTCAGCTCAAGGCTAGCGCTCTACCACTTGAGCCACAGTACCACTTCTGGCCTTTTCTGTTTATGTGGTGCTGAGGAATCAAAACCAGGGCCTCATGTATGTGAGGCAGGTGCTCTACTGCTGAGCCACCTTTCCAGTCCCTTTTTTTTTTTTTAAATTTTGGACAATTATTTGGAGCTCTGAGTCTCACAGTCTGTCCAGCCTGGGCTGGCTTGGAAACCTTAGTCTTCAGATCTCAGCCTCCTGGGTAGCTAGGATAACTGGCAAGAGCCACTGGTGCCCTGCAAGAAAGCTTCTTTGTCAAGGGCCTGAAAGTCCTTCCACATCTGTGAAATAGGGAAACCTTTTTTTCCTTTAAGTTGACACCCTGGCTTCCTCCAAGCCCCACCCCCCAGTGTTTGTGCCTCTGAGGAGATACCACCAATGGCTCTGAGCTTAAGCCCTCGAGCTCCTAACTGAACTGGAATTTTCTATCATGACCTGAGGTCCTTCAAGGATGAGGTGATGGCTGTAGTTCTCAAGCTGTAGGGGTCAGAGATTTTGCAGGGGTGATACCTTCATCTCTCCAGGCAGGTTCTTGTCTTTCTGGTTACTTCTAACAGTCTCTTTTATCTATATGACCTTTGTGTCTGCCCTGATGGTAGTAGCACCTCTGAACTCCTCCGGGGAGATTGGCTGGTCTTAGAGATTGGGTCTGCATCTCTAGGCCCTGGGCTTTGCTGACATCTAAGCCTTAGCTTTGGGGAATCCCCTTTCCCTTGTTTTAAAAATAATCATCAGAAACTGTTCCCTGGGCTCAGAAATAAACCTCTCAGGAACCCCTCCTTCCTGCCATTGCTTGGGGTTCCTGTTACTGTGAGAAGTACTTTTAGCAAGCATATGTTTTGTCAATAGCTTTAATTTCCTGCATTTGGCTGCATGGTAATTTTTACAGCTTTGGTTTTACAACTCATTTTTATAGCCTCTTCTAGGCCCAAGGAACAGGATTGTCATCGGCTTTGTCCACCTGGGCATTTCAGCTGTTCTGCTGAAGAAGCAGCCAGTCAAAATACTGGTTGCCAATACTGGTTGATTTTTGTGTCATCAAGGAGCTAACCAGAATGCCTTGCTTGTTTCTGACTTTGCAGATAAGGTATCACCTCTTTCTGTCTTGCTAGGTGAGATGTAGATGATCAGGAAAGCCAATTGCTCACCCTGGAAGAGCTTCTCTGGATGGAATTAGGCTTAGTTATGTGGAGCATTTAAGGATTCTTTTGAACACAAAAGAGCTGATATACATGTCCCCTGATTTCCAGAGGCAGAAGATAAGCAGCATGCTAATTTGCTAATTGCAAAGTCAAGGAAGAGAATGCCTGTGTAGTGTGCTACTTGTCTATTAGGTGGTACCTAAGAAAGCACCTTAGAGAGTGGCTCCATGGGGGTGTGGCCAGAGCCAGGAATGGGAAGGAGGGAAATAACCCTAGATGAACTTCATCTAGACCAAAAGAGGCTGGGTAAGGAGCCATCCCAGTTCTAGGCCCATTTACACCTGATCTATTCTAGTGGTAAACCTCTAGCTTCCCACGCTGAGGTATTGTGCTAGGTGCTACCATATTAGACACAACTCCTATTTCTAGGTTTCTTACTGGTTATCTCATCATACTTTTTTCTATTTTTATTTTTTACATATTTTTTCTATTAAAAAAAATTCTAAATCGGGTATTCATGGCTCATGCCTATATTCCTAAACTATGCAGGAGGCTGAGATCTGAGTGTCATAGTTCAAAGCTAGCCCAGGCAGGAAAGTCTATGAAACTCTTTTCTTCAGTTAACCACTAGAAAACCAAAAGTGGAGCTGTGGCTCAAAGTGGTAGAGCACTAGCCTTGAGCAAAAAAGCTCAGGGTCAGCTCCCAGGCCCCAAGTTTAAGCCCCATGACCAATCCTCCCACCCCGAAAGAAAAATTCTAGTTATTGTAGATGTGACTCATGCTTTGTGTTGCTTTGTCAAGTCTAGATCAGAATTGGACCATTTGTTTATCTTTTCTTTTTTAAAAACTCTGGAAGGCTTCCTCTAGTTAGGCAGCTTATCACATCTGTGGGGAGTTTTAACAATCCCACTCCCAGAGTTTCTTTTTTTAGGTGAGGGAGTGAGGTGAGTGATTTCCTTTGGCAGCATGGGCCAATTGCAATAAATAACATAAAAATGGATATGCATGTGCTTTTTGTTTGAAGTGTGAGGATTTGTAGTTTTGAGAAATAGGGTAATGCAAATCCTTACGTTGTATTGTAGAGAGTACAGAGGTTACAATTGTTTAATATGCCTGACAAATTTAGGCTTGTTCTGTGTGTGTGTGTGTGTGTGTGTGTGTGTGTGTGTGTGTGTGTGTGTGTGAGCGTGAGCGCGCTGGTTCTGGGGCTCTCAGGAAACCTCGCATTTTCACTTGGTCTTTTCCCTCAAGGTTGATGCTCTGCTACTTGAGCCACAGCTTCACGTCTAGATTTTTGGTAGTCAACTGGAGATGAGTCTCACAGTTTCCTGATTTACTAGGCAAGACTGAGTGTGCTTCAACTTAGTTGAAAAAGTATTTGGGGCTGCATGTGGGCCCTTGGCATCTCTACATGAATGGTATAGGGAAACAGCGCCAACAGTACAGGGAATAAAAACTATTGTTGCCTATATTTATCTTTATTGTTGTCGTCCCAAAAGGAAATTAATGATTTATAGTCTAAAGGTTAGTTCAAAGGTAATAACATCCTGGAATTCACTGTAGATGAAAGCTCCTGTAGAAATATTCTGCAGGATATTTTTATCTGTGAGTGACCACATGTTTGATTTCTCCACTGAACGTTCTGAGTCTCATATATTAACTCATATGTTCCTAGATTTGGTTTTTCCTGGTATAAGCATACTTCTAGGTTTTAGCATTTCTGTGCTCATCAGAGACCTTCTGTAGTTGATAGCTTGTTGGTCCCCATGCACAGAGACTGTAGTCAATCAAACAGGTTGTATCTGTAGACTGTAGTCTTACAGGTTCTGTGCTGTGAAGTCATGCTCTCCCCACCCCCATTCCCTGGCCTTGTTGCTGACCTCTGCAGATGTTGATGAATGTGCAGAAAACAGATGTCACTCTGCTGCCACCTGCTACAATACCCCTGGGTCTTTCTCCTGCCGTTGCCAACCTGGATATCACGGAGATGGATTTCAGTGCTCACCTGGTAAGGCTGGGAGAACCAAATTAGGCACATGAATCACCCAGTTCCTTCCGTGGTATTTTTTTTTAATAAGGCTTTTATTTTTTTGGGTCCGGTCGTGGGGCCTGAACTCTGGGCCTGGGTGCTGTCCCTCAGCTCTTCAGCTCAAGGCTAGTGCCCTATTCAGTGGTATTTTTTTTTCCTCTTGCTGCTTGCTTTTCAGTTAGCCTGGTCTGAGGCTTTATTGGGTAGATCTTTGAGGTTTAGATTTTCCCCTTCGTTACTCCTGCTGCCTACTTTATTACTACATGACTGGTAGTGAACATTCTTGAAAACCTAGAGAGGGACCCATCTCTCTTCCTACTTAAAGGCAGTTCTGGTTGGTTTACTGCATGAATGATCTGCTCCGCTTCAGTGAATAGTCTTTGGATAAAACAGTGAGGAGAATCTAATTAGCTTCTCAGTTAATAGCATACTAGGACATCAATAGTAGACACCCATTGCAGAGGACTAGATTAGCACCGAGCGGTATGGCTGACGTTGACCTGGTCCTTCTTAGAGCTTACCTCCAAGTTTCAGGGGACAAATGGAGTTTGACTTCTTCTATCTGAAATCTCATGGGATGTTGGGCAGATTTCCACAGGTTGCTGCTTATTTTATCTAGGCAGTAGTAGGCCCCTAAGGGCCGAGGAGGGAACTGCCCTTACAGTTTCATTTATCTAGAGATTTAAAGAGACTTAAGGACACAAACTAACTAGACAGGGGCAAATCTAAAATAAGAATTCAGGACTGTGAAAACCTCCTCCCAACTCCCCCCACCCCCACCACCATGTTATAGTGTTTTCCCATGGTAGAAAACATTCCTTAGCACAAGAGACTTTCCTGGTGGCAAATTAGAGTAAACATGTTACAGTCACGTTCTCGTTCTCCTTTTTGTCTCCTCTGCTCTGGTTCTGGAAGACTCTACCTCAGGCCTGAAGCCCTGTGAACAGCAGCAGCGCTATGCTCAGGCACAGCACGCCTACCCTGGGTCTCGACTCCACATCCCCCAGTGCGATGACCAGGGCAACTTCCTGCCACTGCAATGCCACGGCAGCACTGGCTTCTGCTGGTGTGTGGACTCTAATGGCCACGAAGTCCCTGGCACCCAGACTCCACCTGGCTCTACCCCACCTCACTGTGGCCCACCACCAGGTGAGTCTCTTAGGAAAGAAACCACATACCAGCTTGGGTGCAGCTGCAAGAGGCAGAATGGCACTGATGGCGTAGGAGATTTATCACCTAGCGTAGTGTATGTGGACTCAGAGCTGGCTGGTTACCATCCTTTGCCCTCTGTCCTTGGGAGAACACTTGGATGACTTGGGACTGCAGCTGCTTAGATCCTTGTCAAGTACCAGACAAGACTGAGTTCCCTAGCTAACTGAGGCCATTGTGAGTGGTTTCAGAGAGCTGGAAGATGGGACCAGACCAGCATTTTGTCCAGAGCAAAACTGTCTCTTCCTATATAGCCCTCTCATTTAATTCAGATGCAGGAAGCAGTATGAATGAAGCCTGTCAGTAGCATAGAACTATGAATTTTCTTTAACCTGATAACTCCACTCCTCTCTAGTCAATATAGCAATGAGGAACCTCATTGCCTCAGCAGTGTTTGTATGATCTTAGATCTGAGATGCTCATGACAAATGTGTCCTTTATCATCTGTGCTCCCTCTGTTAATGTGAAACCTGGTTACTAAATGCTCACAGTTAATGACAACAGTAGGTACCCGGGACAGCTTTCTACTCCTTGGGGAATTAGTCAGAGATGGGGTAGAACTTTCTTCTTCATTCTTATTCTGGAAGAACTATATTCTGAAGAACAAAGGGTTAGTTTGAGGCTGCTTTTGCCTAAATGTTTCCTGTATCTGGGAACTGGCTACTCAAAACAAAAAATCCATTCTTATTACTGAGAAAGTTTCAAACATACTATCTTGGTTTTTAATGTATGTGAGGAATCAGAGCTAGAGAATTTCCAATGGTTTGAATTCTCTAACAATCTTAATTGTTCCCACCAGGACTTTAGTGATTCTAAGCTTCATAGAGGTAAAAATTGGTAATGGCAGGGTCCATAGCAACATGTCTAGTCCCTCTGTGTTTCTGTTTTTAGGAGTAGATTTTTTACAGAGAGTCCTGTTTCACTCTTGGCTTCTCTTTTCAAAACTCAAGGTCTCCTCCAGCTGAGATTTGAAAAAAGAAAAAGAAAAAAAAACAACAACAGATGGTTGGGAGATCCCTTAGGGAATAGTTCAGAATTCTATTAAATTTATTAAGACAAACATGTGTTAAGGACAATGATTCAGCCTGAGAAGTTAATGAGTAAAATAGGGACACATTGTTTTGTGTAGCCTTTCCCAGGGCTTTGACTTCTCCCTTGGCACCCGCTTGGCTTGATCTGCCATTTCTGACTAGTCTCATCTGTATAATGGGGTCAGCTGGAGCGGGCATGTGCCCAAGATGTCAGGATATTTAAGCCCCTGCCCATTAGAAGCAGAAGAGAAAGAAGCCCATGGTTGGATGGAGAAGTAGCTTTCAATAGCAGGGAAGAGGAGTGTGTCCACATAGAGACTGGAGACTCATTTCCCAGAACTTCACTCAGCTGGCTATCTGCATTCTACACGAAGAAATGTGCCTTGCCAGGAGCTTCCTTGAACCAAGAATGAATCTTTGGAATTCAGAATGTGGGGTGAGGTGGTGTTGGGAGCCTCTGTAGGACATCCTGCTTTGAGGTGTGAATGACAGTGTTTGAGAAAGTAGCATTCCTCACTTCCGGTCCTTGGATAAGGAAATCTGAATCCTACCTTTTTCTATGAAGACTCAGAGCTACAGTACAAGCTGAAGGACACCTTTTTCCCCAAAGCTGGGGAGTCTTAGCCAGAGGCAGGTGGTTCCCATCTGTAGTCTTAGCAACTCAGGACTAAGATCTAAGGATAACAGTTCAAAGCCAGCCAAGCAGGAAAAAAAAAAGAAATAATGAGACTCTTACCTCCAGTTAGCTAGCAAAAAGCTGGAAGTGGAGGTGTGACATAAGTGGTAGACGCCAGCCTTGAGTAAAAACATCAAGTGAGAGCTCAAAGCCCTGAGTTCAAGCTCCAGAAATGGCATCAGTACTATAAGGATCGGGTTCACTCTCTTCCCAGAGGATCTAGCCTGCTGAAGCCCTATTGCAATGTTTCCAGCTGTTTCTGGCAGTTGCTGTAGGGGGTTTGAACAATGGAGTGGAAGGAACACAAATGCCTTTGTATTTTCAATGTACAGAAGCTCTGGCTTCTGGTTGAGTGTACACTGGTGTAGAGAGAGGGAGGTGTAGGGCCCAGGAGGACAAGAGCAGGAAGACCAATGGAAAAGTGGTTGCAGCACAAGATGACAAGTAAAAGTGGAGAGAAGTGAAGATATCCCCAATGCTTTTGAAAGTAGAACTGACAAGAATTTTTTGACATATATGATGTGGAAGAGTTAAGGATGGTTGTGTCTGAGCAATGGGAAAATGGAGGTGCTATTTCCTGATAGTGAAAAGATTAAGAGAGGAGCAAATCTGATGGGAGAAGGCAGGGGCCCCAGCTTTCTAGTTTGTTTGTTTTTTGTCGGTCATGGGGCCTGAACTCTGGGCCTGGGCACTGTCCCTCAGCTCTTCAGCTCAAGGCTAGCACTCTACCACTTGAGCCATAGCGCCACTTCTGGCTTTTTCTGCTTATGTGGTGCTGAGGAATGGAACACAGGGACTCATGCATGCAAGGCAAGCGCTCTACCACTGAGCCACCTTCCCAGCCCCCCAGCTTTCTAGTTTTATGCTGAGATTTCTGTTATGCATGAAAGCAGATATTTGGCTGTGTAGTCCTACAGGCTATAACTTTTGAGCTGTAGAATTAAGAAGGAAGCAGAATTACCTTCTATATTTATTTACAGCCCTTTAGTTTATCCAATCATAAATGGACAACTTATTTTAACAGTCTTTTCACACAGCCATCTACATTTAGGACAGAGTTTTAATGGTCCCAGAGTGATATGTGGGGATGGAATGGCTCTGTAACACAAGTCAGCAGGACTTGAAACTGAGGGAGATAACCGGAAGAGTGGATGCTGAAGAAGAGAGGAGACACCAGGGTAGCAGAAGTCTAGAGACTACAGAGAAAGGTTTTGCCTTGAGAAGTCACAGGGGAAGGATGGCTAAACAACTTCTAGAAATTGGGTTGTCCAAGCATTTTAAGTTGCATGCTACTATATGCCCTGCACATTAATTACATTGTTTCACTTTTGTTTGTTTGGACTAGTACCATGATTTTAACACAGGGCCTGTGCTTGCTTGGCTTGTTGGCTTAGCAGGAGCTCTACCATTTGATCCATGCCTCCAGCCTCGCTTTTTGCTAGTTAGTTGAAGATAAGATCTCCCGTTGAATGGTAGTCCTCCAGGTCTTAGCTTCCTGAATAGCCAGGATTACAGTCATGAGCCACTGGTACCCAGAATTTGCTTTTATCCTATGTAGTTTTCTAACAGAATAGATACCGGGGGCCAAATAACAGACTGGCTTTCAGCAATTTTTCTTTTTCTTCTTTTTGCAATACTGAAGGTTGAATTCATAGCCTCACACTTGTTAGGCATGTGTGCTACCACTTCTGCCACATCTCCAGCCCATTTTCCACTGATTATTTCCAAAGTAGACTCTCTCCAGGATCAGCCTGAACCTCCTACTTGTGCCTTCCCATGTCTTAAGGGTGGCAGGTGGGCATCATTGCTCTCAACCTCCAGCAGTGCTTTCTATAACACTCTGGCCAAACTCAAGCTGACCCAAACTCAAGCTGACCCTCTCAACACAGAGTCTTGGAGCTTGAAACAAGTAGCAAAGAATAACCATTCATTTAAAGTATGACATAGGCCACTGAGTCCCCAAAGAGAGTCTGCACAAGCACTCTCTCTCTGCAGAGTGCACTGGCCACAGGCCAGTGTTACTGTGGGCCTCTGCTGACCTGAGTAAGATGTCTGTCTCTGCAAGCTGTGTGCTGTGGCTCAGTCTGATGTGGTCAGACCTTGGTGGCACCTCTTCCTGAGTCAGGGGGACATTAAGCGGATCTCTTCTCCAGAGTCTCACAGAAAACATTTGAAGAACTCATTTGCCTCCCTGGACCAGCGAGTATCCAGGGTTCTCAACCCATTACTGGACACTAGTAGAAGGACGGGCAGAGGGTCAGGTGTGGGAATCTTGAACTTTATGCTGCGTTCTGTTTTAGCTGCCAATCAAAGGCTTTGTTTCCTCATCTGCTTAGAGCCTACCCAGAGGCCTCGGACGGTCTGCGAGCGCTGGAGGGAAAACCTGCTGGAGCACTATGGTGGCACACCCAGGGATGACCAGTACGTGCCCCAGTGTGATGACCTGGGTCACTTCATCCCCTTGCAGTGTCATGGGAAGAGTGACTTCTGCTGGTGTGTGGACAAAGATGGCAGAGAGGTTCAGGGCACACGCTCTCAGCCAGGCACCACCCCTGCATGTAAGTACAGGTATAGCCCAAACTCACCTCAGTGGCACCTAGGCATCTGTGTAGAGATTGCTTGGGGAGTTGTGAGTCACCCGGTCTAAAGACAGAAGTCACTTCATCAACATGCTTTGTCCATTGATAATCTGGTTCTCCAGATTCCAAGATGCCCATTCGGATTTGTGTTGAATTGGTCACTCAGCTATTTCTGAAATGAGAACACCTAGAACTTACTTTAATGTTGCATACTTTTTCCTTCTTGTGCCAATCCTTGTGTCACCCTGGGGTCCCAAAGAATTTTTTTTTGTTGGTTGTGGGGCCTGAACGCTGGGCCTGGGCGCTGTCCTTCAGCTCTTCAGCTCAAGGCTAGCGCTCTACCGCTTGAGCCACAGTGCCACTTCTGGCTTTTTCTGCTTATGTGGTACTAAGGAATCAAACTCAGGCCTTCAAGGCAAGCACTCTTCCCAGCCCCCCCAAAGAAATTTTATCCCCTCAAAAACAAGGACAAGAAAAGACTCGGCTTTTCTGTGAGGGAAGTGTTGTATTGTAATGGATAGTGATTTACATAAAGGTTTCTTGAAGCCCCAGAAATGAGAATTTCCTTTGAAGAACATCTGGGGCACATCTGTTTACAGCACAGAACTTTTGATAGTTTTGAAGGCTTTGGCATGTGAGAAAGTAACTTCTTTGTCCCCACCCTCCCCTTGTTTCTTCTTCCCTCCTTCCCCATACCTCCTTCTTTCCATGGCAGGTATACCCACCGTTGCTCCCCCTATTGTCCGGCCCACACCACGGCCTGATGTGACCCCTCCATCTGTGGGCACCTTCCTGCTTTATGCTCAGGGCCAGCAGATCGGCCACTTGCCCCTCAATGGCACCCAGCTTCAGAAGGATGCAGCCAAGACCCTGCTGTCTCTGCATGTAAAGTGGAGTTCCTTGAGGGGCGGGATGTGGGGCGGGGCTTGGCACAGTGGGCTGGTGCAGGGTGGGGCCTAGTGTAGATTGTGCCACTGGGCAAAGAGGGATGTGGAGTCAGGAATTCCTGTAGTGCTTATGGGCTGCAATCTGTCTCCACTGGCCTGGAGCTACCACTACTGATGTGGGGGCTGTCCATTGCTGGGGGCCATGTCTGACCCATCCCAGGTGCTCTGTCCTGTGGGCTCAAGGTGATTCAGATATGAGGAAAGGGAATGTAGAGTTGATGGGACGTGAAGGCTGTTTGGTGATTCTAGGGAATATTGACAGGCTCTTGCCCAAGTCTTCAAGGTTTTTTTCTAGGTCCCAGGCATTCTGGAGTCACAGCTAAGAGGTGGTGGCTATAACGTGGTTTCTGTGATCTATTGGGAAGCTCGAGGGAAAGATAAAACCTGAAACCTCCTCTCTGTTGCATGTCTGCCCTCCTAGTTTGGTCATATGACTCTTGACACCCCTCCTCACCCCTCTTTCTTAAACTTCCTGACTCCTTCATAAGGAAGAATTGGAGAGAGTATACTCACTCCTGGGAAAGGACATACTTGCCACTTTCCAAGCTCTGACCAAAGCATCCCTATTTGGGAGTTTTTTTTTTTCTTTTTCTTTTACTTTAAAGTGAGAACAAAAAGAAAGAGAGACCCCCTCCTTTTCCCCCCAAAGGCATTGCTACATACAGTAGAAAACATCTGATCCTGTTTTACTTTTTTGGCAGTATTGGAGTTTGAACTCAGGGCCTCAGGCTTGACTAGGAATGCCCCTTAGCCATGATTCTATTTCTAAACTTGACACTTGGGATAGTTTGTCATCCATGAGAGAGAAAAGGACCAGTGTTCTTGTTCGTATTTACTCTAGTGCTATTTATTTGGTTCCAAAAAAGTTTAAAAGCAGCCAATGTTCAGAGAAAGATAGGTTTTTTTTTCTTCCTTTAAGATTCATGGCTCCTGCCACCCAGCAAACTGGGTTCCATGATTCCTTGGGTTCATAGAAGCCTTTATAAATGTGTACTTTTGCCCAAGACAGCTCTTTCTTTCATTTTTCTTCCTTCCCCTCCTATTTCTCCTTCCCTTCCTTCCCCTTTTCTCTGTTTCTCTCTCTCATCATTGAATTTGAACTCAGAGCCTCATGCTTGCTAGCAGATACTCTACTATTTGAGCCTGTCTCCAAGCTTTACTTTATTTTTCTTAGTTAATTTTTCAGGTACGAACTTTTGTTTCTGCTTGGTATCAGATTCAGATCTTGATTCTCCTACTTCTCCTCTTGATTAGCTGAGATTGCTAAGATCTGTGCACCACCAAACCTGGCTTGACTTTAGAGAGAAGATCTGGCTAACCTTGCCTGGCTGGCCTTGAACCTTGATTCTCCCATCTCAGCTTTCCTCCCTCTGCTCTCTGTGTAGCTGGGATTTCAGGCATGAGCCACCATGCCCAGCCCAAATGGCCTTTTAATTTTAAAGTAAAAGTATCGTTCACCTTAGGTATCCCCGTGTAAACTGCTAGCTTTTCTGCAGGAACCAAACGGAGTTAGTAAGTCTCTTGTGCTGTCTCAAAGGCTAAGTCAACCCAAGCCCCAGGAGGCTTGTTAAGCAAGAGCGAACTGAATTGACCTCAGGGACAGCCAGATGGCCTCTAGACGTTGGCTTTGTACATCTTCTGGTTGTCTTGGAACAGGAATCTGGGTTAGGAACTTTATGAAGCAAGTCCTGTGTGGAGATCAGGAATGTCACCGATTTGGCATTTTGAAAAAAGACTGTCATTTAGTACTAATGAGGAGAGGACAACCCACTAGCCAAAGGTTTGGTGACTGCAATTTCCCAGTTCCTTAACCCATTAAACTACACTTTCTTTTAATAGAGTACAGCTGAATGATTTGCTTTATATGGAATTAGGAATAAATAACTACACCTCAAGTGGGAAAAGGATCTCAGCTTGTTTACTGGGGAGGGGAGAAGAGATTTTGTTGGCATATGTCGGCAGATTTTAGAAAGGCTCTTTCAAAAAAATGCCGGTAACATTTGAAAGGATTTAGTTTTAATTCAATATTAAGGACTGAGATTCCTCTCATCCCTGAGGGGGGGGGGGCTGAGTTCTTTTATGAAATTATTGTTTATACTTCCAAGGATAATGGCACTTGAGGGGCTCACTGTATAGCAATTACTGAGTAGGACATTTGGTAAGCACTGATGACATTGATTTTTATTTTTTTGCTGGTCCTATGACTTGAACTCACGGCCTGAGCACTATTCCCTAAGCTTTTTCACTTAAGGCTGGCTCTTTAATATTTTGAGTAACAGCTCCACTTCTGGCTTTTCACTAGTTCATTGGAGATAAGAGTCTTTTAGGTTTGTCTGCCTGGGTTGGTTTTGAACTACAATCCTCAGACTTTAGCTTCCTGAGTAGCTAGGATGACAGGTATGAGCCATCAGTGCTTGGCCCAGTATTAATTCTTGTAGCAGCCACATGAAGTAGGTAGGATGGGAGGACTTGTTGGCACACACGTTGATGGTAGAGTCATAGAGTTACTAAGTGGCTAAGCACTGCAATGACCCTAGGGAGGTCTCCACTGCCCACATGTCCAACTAGTCTGCTCTCTTGCTTGCAAGATCTCCATGCAGGGTTGCTTACTGTAGCCATGCATAAACATGAACTTGGGGATAAGAGTTCAAGCATTTTAATTCTTCTAATCTTATGATTTGGCCCATGAAGGGGTCCATAGTTGTGGGACTTGACTATGACTGCCGGGAGAGGATGGTCTACTGGACAGATGTCGCTGGACGGACCATCAGCCGTGTGAGCTTGGAACCGGGAGCAGAGCCTGAGACTATTGTTAATTCAGGTCAGCAACTTCACTCATTTCACTTCATGGTACTAAGTCACTTACTGTTGTATGTCTCTTCTTTGTTTTCATGAAATGGGAGGTTAAGTTCTGGGCCATTAGCAAATGCCTTCATGTGTCATGAGTTGATAAGAGGTGACACTCAGGAGATGATCCCTTCCCAAACAATATAGCTCACAGGAAGTATCAGGGAGTGACAGTTTATGCAACCTGCCACCAGCACTATGGATGTCAGGTACTATCAGGATAGTATACAAGAAACTGTATGTGGCACTGGTACCTGATGCTTGTAATCCTAGCTACTCAGGAGGCTGAGATCTGAGGATCAAGGCTCAAAGCCAGTCTGAACAGAGAAATCTGTGACATTCTTATCTATAGTTCCCACAAAAATGCTGGATGTGGAGGTGTGACTTGGTGGCAGGGTACGACACACACACACACACACACACACACACACACACACACACACACACACACACACACAGCTAGAGATGATGGAGAAAGTGACAAAAGGATCACTTCTTAAACTGACTTGGCTTTGGGATTTTAGAAACTCTCATGTTTTGTGCATGTAAGTGTAAGCTTTTCAAATACAGCAGGTTTTCACGTCCCTCATGCTTCACAAATGTTCCAATCCTGCCTTTGCTTTTGTTTTTGCAGGTCTGATTAGCCCTGAAGGACTTGCCATTGATCATTTCCGTAGGACAATGTACTGGACGGACAGTGGCCTGGATAAGATAGAGAGGGCCCAGCTGGATGGCTCCCAGCGCAAGGTCCTCTTCCACACAGATCTTGTGAACCCCCGTGCCATCACTGTGGATCCAATCCGAGGGTCAGCTGGGCTTCCCTAATTCTGATACTTACAGATCCTCATTGAAAGCTTCAGTTTTTAATAGACTCTGGAGAGGGTTAGGAGAGAAAAAACTCAAATGCACTCATTAACAAATATTTACTGAGGATGTCCTAAGTATCAGGCACTGTTGTAGGCAATGGCAAAGTCTATTTCTCATTGTATTTGTAAGGAAATACAACAGATAAGAAAATTTGGGCTGGGCGCTGGTGGCTCACGCCTGTAATCCTAGCTACTAAGGAGGCTGAGATCTGAGGATCATGATTCAAAGCCAGCCTGGGCAGGAAAGTCCATGAAACTCTTATCTCTAATAAACCACTAAAAAACCAGAAGTGGTGCTGTGGCTTAAGCAGTAGAGCACTTGCCGGAGCTAAAAAGCACAGAGACAATGCCCAAGCCCAGAGTTCAAGCCCCATGACCGACCAAAAAAAAAAAAAAGAGTATTTCCAATTAACAAGATAATTGTTTTTTAGACGTCACCCATTAACTACTTTGTATATTTAACAAGGCAACACAAGGTGCCGTGTACAATGTCTCAGTGTCTTTAGCTGGGAGCCAGCTATCAGTTAACTGAGATTTTCCTCTAGAAAGTTCCACACAGTAATCCCTGGTTTAAATTGCTATAGGCTCTGTAGTTTCTATTGCTTAACAATTCCTAACAAGTATTATATTTCTTTGGGCCCTAGGCTCAAGATCCAGTCCAGTCAAATCAGCAAATTAAGAGTTTCTAGGACAGTTTCATTTGGTAAGGATGTTAGAGTGTTAGTGACTTCTACAGAATTGTAATTGTCAGAAAAATTTAGGATGCAGACAAAAGCAGCACATGGCTGTGTACTAGTTGCCTATGGTGTGTAACTAATTGCCCACAAACACTGCAGCTTAAGACAACATTTATTGTAGCAGTGTCTGTGAGTCAGGAATCTGGGTGAGACTTAACTGAGTGTCTCTGGCAGTGTCTCAAAAGTCTGCAACAAAGATATTGATGAAGCTTCAGTGATCTTAAGGCTTAACTGATAGGACCACTGCTAAGCATACTCCTGTGAGCTTTTTTTTTTTTTTTTTTGAGGGGGTTGGGGAATCAGTCATGGGGATTGAACTCAAGGCCTTGAGAGTTGTCCTTGAGCTTTTCTGCTCAATGCTAGTGCTCTACCACTTTGAGCTACAGGGCCACTTCCAGTTTTTTGTGGTGGTTCATTGGCAGTGAGTCTCATGGGCTTTCCTCCTCAGCCTTCAAACTGTGATCCTCAGATCTCAGCTCCTGAGTAGCTAGGACTACAGGCTCCCAGCTTCCTATGTGCTTTTGGTGGCCCCCAGTTCTTACTGGCCATTGGGCAGGGGGTTTCTGTACAGGGCAGCTTACGGCATGGCATCTACCTTCCCTCAGAGGGAGCCTAAGATGGCACTCAAGACAGAAGGCAGTTTTTGAAATCTAACATTGGAAGTGGTATTCTCTCACTTCTTCCATTCTGGTATTCACTGTAAGCATGACACTAAATCTAGCCCAACTCCGGGGGATTGCTTCAGGCTCTGAGTACCAGAAGGTAATTAACAGTGGCTATCTTGGATGCTGCCTACTACAAGTTGCACAGCTATTTTTTTTCCCCTTAATGATGTTTGGGATTGAATCCAGGGGCTTTGTACTGTTAGGCAGAAGCTCTCCAATTCAGCTACAGCCTTAGTTCCTACACAACTATTCTTTTACAATCTTTTAAAAATTTTATCTACAGCAACTTATACTGGACAGACTGGAACAGAGAAGCTCCTAAAATTGAAACATCTTCTTTAGATGGAGAAAACCGAAGAATCTTGGTCAATAAAGACATTGGATTACCCAATGGATTAACCTTTGACCCTTTCTCCAAACTCCTCTGCTGGGCAGATGCAGGTAACACTAATAGAATATGTAACCAGATCACAGTATCACACAGTCTGTGCTATCTCTAAACATTTGAAGAACATTTAATAGTTACAATGAATTTTCTTTTTGGTGTGGGTTGGATAGGGGCAGGGATGGCTGAATTTGGTATGAAGTTGTTGTTGTTTTGTTTGTCAGTCATGGGGCTTGAACTCTGGACCTAGTCCTGGGCACTGTCCCTGAGCTCTTCAGCTCAAGGCAAGTACTCTACCACTTGAGCCACAGTGCCACTTCCTGTTTTCTGGTGGTTAATTGGAGATAAGAGTCTGAGGAACTTTCTTGCCCTTTCCTGCCTGGGTTGTCTTTGAATCACTATTCTCAGATCTCAGCGTCCTGAGTAGCTAGGATTATAGGCATGAGCCACTGGTGCCTGGCTTGGTATTAAGTTTTTATTGCTTAACAGACCAACATACTTGGTAAACCTTTTAAACAAAACATTGGCAGGAAGATCATGAGTTTGAGATCAGATTGGGCTAGACAGACTCACTTCAAGGAAACAAACAAAAAAATCAGAAAGTAAAAAATAGCATTGACTTGACAAATGTAAACAAACAGGTTGTTCTTTGTGGAGTCAAAATGAGAACTTTCCACCCATACTTGCTGGTGCTGAGGGTATTCTTTGGTGTGGCAGGTTGGCTTCTTTTTGCAGTACCTTCAGAATACAAGTTAATACTGAGACTATTTCTCTTCTATGCTTTTCATTATGAGAATAACTGAAAGGTGCTACATAATTACAGTTTTGAACTGAAATGAACTGTATGAAAGGCTGTTTTGGAACTTAGAATCTAATTAAAAAGGTTTTTAATGTAGATGGGCCAGTTTCACAACCCTGTTGTCCAAGCATTAGTGTGTGTGTGTGTGTGTGTGTGTGTGTGTGTGTGTGTGTGTGTGTGTGTGTGTTGGTCCTGAGACCAGGGATTGTGTGTGTATGTGTGTGTGTATGTGCTGGTCCTGACCAGGGATATTGTGTGTGTGTGTGCTGGTCCTGAGACCAGGGATTGGGTGCTGTCCCTGGGCTTTTGTGCTCAATGCTAGAGCCACATCTCTGTTTCTGCCTTTTTTTTGTAGCTAATTGGAGTTAGTTGAAAGTCTCATAGACTTTCTTGCCCTGGGTGGCTTTGACCTGTGATCCTCAGATCTCAGCTTCTTGAGTAGCTAGGATTAGAGGTGTGAGCCACCAGCAGCTCAGCTATCATTACTTTTTTTGGTGGTGATGTTGATTGTGGGGCCTAAACTCAGGGCTTGGGTGCTCTGAGCTCTTGTGCTTAAGGATAGCAAGCACTGTACTACTTTGAGCCACAGCTCTACTTCTGGCTTTCTGGTGGTTAATTGGATGTAAGTCTCCCTGACTTTCCTGCCTGGGCTGGCTTTGAACTTTAATCCTCAGATCTCAGCCTCCTGAGTAACTAAGGTTACAGGTGTTAGCCACTGGTGCCTGGCTCATTTAGTTTTTAAAAGCATCTGAAATTGCCAGACATAGGTAACCCATGTCTGTAACCCTAGCTACTCAAAAGGCTGAGATCTGAGGATAGAAGGTTCAAAGCCAGCCCAGGCAGTAGAATCTGTGAGACTCTTTTCTCCAATTAACCAGAAAAATGATGAAAGTACAGCTGTGGCTCAGGTGGTAGAGCACTAGCCTTCAGCGCAAACTCAGGAATAGGCCTGAGTTCAAGCTCCAAGACACCCTGCAATAAAAATTATCTGAAATTGAAATTTCCTCATAAGGCATTTTGAAACTTAGAAATCCTTGAATTCATTAGCCATTTCAACATTTTCAAGACTGCTTTCTTAACACTGGAAAATAGCATTGTTAACCTTTTAGTTGTGTTTATTCCTGTAACTAAGACAAGAATACTTGTAGATCTGGGGCAGTTATTTACTGTTGTTTTCAACAATTTGTGAGATAGGGTTTCAAATTATAATGCTTATCTCTGGAAGAAACTTAGCCAGACTCTAGCAGAGGTAATCTCTTCTTAAAATAATTGTTTGAATTTCTATTAAAAAAAATGAGAATGTGCAAGCCTAGTGACTAGTAATAGAACAGGACATTATTGGGTTGCTGGTTTTTATGACTGCAAGGGGAATAAAATGCCCCATTTCGTATTCTGCCTTTGATATCTTGAGAAAGAAATTCTGCCACTGTCATTTCTGGCAAAGCAGTTTTTATTTCCCTTATGGCATGAAAAGTTCCTATTTCCCCCTTGTATGCTTTAAAAGGAACCAAGAAACTGGAGTGTACACTACATGATGGCACTGGGAGGCGTGTAATCCAGAACAACCTCAACTATCCCTTCAGTATCATCAGCTACGCAGATCACTTTTACCACACCGACTGGAGAAGGTGAGCTGGTACCTGACCAGTGGCTTTGGTATGCACACTTCTTGTACCGAAGCCAATAAGTAACTTTAGTAAGTCCTGAGGATTGTTTCATCGCTCCTCATTCATGGATACCATTCTACATGTTTTACTGCTGTTGAAATCATCCTTTCACTTCACCCAGAAATAAGGTGTTACTGCCCACAGGGAGCTTTAAAACTGGCAAAGCTATTTGGTAATAAACTATATAAGGAAGCATATTTATCAGAATCTGCTCTTCAGAAGGACTACCTTAAGTGGTACCATAAGGTAGTTATTGGATAGTTAACCCCGCCCCCTTCCCGCCCCCCGCAAGAACACTATGGACTTTCTACATACCTTTGAGGCCAAAAATACTTAACCCTCAAGTGAAAAAGTGAAATATTTTAACAAAAAAAAAAAAAAAATGTCAGGGGTTGGAGACATGGCTCAGTTGGTAGAGCACTATCCAATGAAAGCATGAGGTACTGAGTTCAGGTCCCAGTCTTGGACCTAAAAAAAAAATAATCTAAGTCCTTTGGCCTCATTCTCTACAACTTTGGTTTAATTGATGTGCCAGAAGACCCAGACACCTTGTGGTCTATCTTTAGTACAGTTTGTGTAGTTCCAAATGCAGCTAGGACTGAGAACAATTGATTTAGACCAATGGCTCTCAAACTTCCCTGTGACACCAACATTACCCAGATGACTTGTTACAATGTACACTACTGGGTCCAATCCCAAGTTTTTGACTCAACAGATCTGAGGGGAACAAGAACAACCATTTCCTAAAGTTCCTGGGTAATATGACTATGGGTATGAAAGACTAGAATTAAGATAAGTCATAAATCAAAACCCCTCTGGTTAAACTGATTTAAAAACTGACTCTCTGGATTCACTCTTCTTTCTGCTTCCAGGGATGGTGTGATCTCAGTGAATAGACACAGTGGCGAATTCACAGATGAGTACCTTCCAGAGCAGCGATCTCACCTCTACGGAATAACTGTAGTTTATCCCTACTGCCCAACAGGTAAAAGAATGTGTCGGGCGGGTCTGTGGACCAGCAGGGGAGGGAAGAGCTGTCTACCGTGACCAATTCTATGCTGCCACCAGCATTGCTGCCATGGCCATGCTACCTAAAGTCCGCCTAGCTTATAGACAAAATGAAGACTTGGTATTGCATCTTGGCTACAAAAATTCACCACTGCCCTCTCCTCTCACAGGAAGAAAATGACTATGAAACCTAAAGGAAGACTTGAAGTTTACAATCAGCATCCTGACCCTAAGAAAATTACTATAAAAGAAGAGAAAGTGAAAAAGGAATTAGCCATTAGAAATTACTAGATATACAAGATGAACATTTTTTAGTGCAACAAGACTAAGTATATTTTGTGAAAGTTTATACCTCAATCTTTACTACTGTATTTTTTAAACAAAGGTTATTTGCAAGCTTACAAAAACGTAATGAATTTTAATAGTTGCTTATTAAAGCAACTTTTTATAAACATATCATATTTTAAAGTTCAAATTCATTTAAGATCCAGTTAGTTTTGGACTCTAAATCTGAATTTTAGTATGGATTCTTTTTCTGGCCAAGAAAGTAAAGCACATCACCAATGATGTAATGTAGTTAGAGATTATGCAGAACTGATGGGAAAGAACCAACTTATTTATAGATTCCCAGCCAAAGTTATGACTTTTTTACCTCTGCATCAGTGCATTTCTATTTATATTAAAAGGTGCTACAATTAATCATTTTTATTTTCTCATCCCATAAGTGCCTCTACAAAAGTACCTACTAGAAGTACTACATTTATAAATACCAAAGATGTAGCAATTCTCAAATTACCTAGATACTACAATAAAATATTTTAAGTTTTCCTGTGATCTAAGGATTTATATTATTTTTAGGACAAAGCTGGGTATAGTCATGTACCATAACTACAAAGGAGGAAACACATAGTTACATAAACATGTAAAGGCATACTTTAAAAAAAAAAGAAAAAAGGATAATACTTTCCCAAACTTTATTAAAAGAAACAAAGCAATGGTGGTGAATCTCTACATAACACAGTCAATTTTCCAGGATCCTCCCTCGGAAATGTGACATCTGATTTCCAAATGCATGCCAGAAGTATACATGGTTCCCAATTGTACTAAGAAGGTTAAGAAGCTGAAATCTTGAAGTGTTCATCTTCCCACTTTCCCTAGTCTGTGGTCTGTCTTTGGATCAGCAATAATTGCCTGAACAGCTACTATGGCTTCATTAATTTTTGTCTGTAGCTCTCTGAGTTCTTCTATATGCAGCAGTCGCAGAATCTGAGCAGCTTCATTAAGAACTGCATCTGTTTCATAAGAACACTGTGTTAATATATGGTTTTTACATTTAAGACCATCTACTCATATCAACAATTTCTCAAGCCTCTCAAGAGAGTTTAAATCACTTACCTCCTGTGTCAAAACCAAGAATATGTTTGTCTAAAGCAACAGGCAGTCCCTTAAAAAAAATGGGTACAAAATGAGACTAGTTCATAATAACTTTTTGTTATCTGAAAACTAACCCCCTCCCTTCCCTCCCCCAAAAAAACAAAACCCAAACTTAGTTTTTTGTTAACTTTTAGCTACATTGGTTGGGGACTTAAGATTTTTTATTTTATTTTTATTTTTTTGGGGGGGGGGGGGGGGAGGTCCGGTCATGGGGCCTGAACTCTGGGCCTGGGCGCTGTCCCTCAGCTCTTCAGCTCAAGGCTAGCGCTTTACCACTTGAGCCACAACGCCACTTCCGGCTTTTTTCTTTTTGCTTTTGTGGTGCTGAGGAATCGAACCCAGGGCCTCATGCATGCAAGGCAAGCGCTGTACCACTGAGCCACCTTCCCAGCCCAAGATTTTTTGAATTTAAATTTGCCTGTTTTTCTTATGACAAGAAGCTAGGAGAGAGTGGCCTTTAAATATACTTAGAAGCTCTGTAGGCCACCTAGTCCTTTAGTCAGGCCAATAACTTAAATCCTAGACAACCTATGCATGTAATCCAGCAGTACTCTGTCACTACTGCTATGGAAAGAGCTGAGCAGAGGTTATCTATGAACACAGGTTTAAAAAATATACAAACCTATCTAAAATATACACAGCTATTTTGTTCAACTAAGCTTGTTTACCAGATTATCTACAGATATTAATTTGAAAATAGTTTGGGGAAGTAAGGAGAAATTAAACCATTTAGCTAGTTAGTACCTATGTCCAGATATACCTCAAGGGTAGCACCAAACTAACTTTTCAATGACTATCAAGTAAAAATGATGTCAGCCTATGGACACAGACTGATTATACTGTGTAAAATACACTAATCAAAACCAACCAGCTAGATGCCCGTGGCTCACACCAGGAGGCCAAGATAGAAGATCGTGCCCAGCATGGACAGCTCCAATTAACCACCAAAAACTCAGAAGTGAAAGAGTGCTAGCCATAAGCAAAACTCAGAAGTAGCATCAGGCCTGAACTCAAGCCCCATAACCAGCAAAAAAAACAAAAAACACCCCCCATCCCTCCAAAACACACCAAAAAACCAAATGGAAAAAAAAAGACCCTTATGCTTTCAGTGTTATAGACTGTCACTATACAAATGCTTTTGTCACTACTCAGTTTTCACCTAATCTAAATAGTGTTTAAGAAAGCAAAGGATATGAAAATACAGTGGACAAAATAAAGATGGATTTGTACTGAGTGGCTCCATGTCAACTGGAGACCAACAGACCACTAAGGAACTACCCCTGAAAATTGCATGCTTCAAATACTAGTTACATCCAGTGGTGCACATCTTTAATCCTAGCTACTCAGGAGACTGAGATCTGAGGATTGCAGTTTGAAGCCAGCCTGGGCAGCAAAGTCTGTATGACTCTAATCCCTAATAAGTAACAAAAAAGCCTGGAGTGTGGCTCAAGTGGGAGAACACTAGCGTTGAGCAAAAAAAGCTCTAGGACTAGGTTACATTGTCCAAGAGAAAAATGTACATATTTCCTGAATTGTGAAATGGTAACTCCTCTAATAAGAATATTAAAAAAAAAAAAAACCCTCAGGAACAGCACTCAGGCTAGAGCTCAGTCCCAGAACTGGCGCGTGTACACGTGCACACACACACATGCTTACAAAGAACACTAAGGTAAGAATTTCGTCACTACATTATTATAGGCTGGTATGTTTTAAAGATGGCACTGAAATGAAGATTTAGAGCACTGGAAATAACAGCAAACAAGAGCAAAGGGATTTGGCTATGCCTCTTTTTGTATTGCATTTCAAACTAAGACATAATTTTGCTGAAAGAACCACATCAGTTTATTATGCCAGAACAATCTACCATCTGTTCTATACTGTGAGTGAATTAGGCTGCTCTTTATTTCATTTTCCAGGGCTGATTCATACATAATTAAGAACCTTCAGAAGAAAATTGGGTGACTGTCAGAGGGGACTACACCGTGTGGCATTAGTAACCTTGTAACACTGCTGTACTCATTTAAAGAGGTCACAGGGCAAAAGACACTGGAGGACCTGAGGGAAAGGGAACAAAAATAATCAAGAATGGCAATTGTGCAGAAGGCATTCACTGATACATCTACCCAGAAAAGGGGTCATTATTAGATACCTGCAGCAACTGCTTGCTCTAATCCCTGTTGACACTGTATTTTTTTTTTTTTTTTTGGGGTCCGGTCGTGGGGCCTGAACTCTGGGCCTGGGCGCTGTCCCTAGCTCTTCAGCTCAAGGCTAGCGCTCTACCACTTGAGCCATAGCTCCACTTCCAGCTTTTTTTTTTCTTTTTGCTTATGTGGTGCTGGGGAATCGAACCCAGGGCCTCAGGCATGCAAGGCAAGCGCTCTACCACTGAGCCACCTTCCCAGCCCCGACACTGTATTCTTATGTCAATGAGGCTTTAGGGATATTTGAATTCTTTATTTTTAGCAGTACTAGGGTTTGAACTCGGGCCCTTGTGCTTGTTAGGCAGGTGCTCTACCAGTTCAGCCACAGCCCAGTCCTTCAATCAAATCAAAATATTCCACTAGTCTTTATTTGGGGGAAGGAGGGGGAGGTTGGTTGTGGGGCCTGAACTCTGGGCCTGGGCGCTGTCCCTCAGCTCTTCAGCTCAAGGCTAGCGCTCTACCACTTGAGCCACAGTGCCATTTCTGGTTTTTTTTTCTTTTTCTTTTTGCTTATGTGGTGCTGAGGAATCAAACCCAGGGCCTCAAGCATGCAAGGCAAGCGCTCTACCACTGAGCCACCTTCCCAGCCCCACTAGTCTTTACTTAAAGGAAAGGTGGATCAAGGTGTCCTGAACAAAATGAGATGATTTTCTCTTAAAAATCAAATGAGTAAGGGCAGGATTTAGATTTAAAAAAATTAGTAACTAGGTGTGTCCATTTTCACTGTGAGAATAGTCCAAATTTTACAAGAGTAAATTCTTTATATAATAAATTTCAACTCTGTTTGTACACTATGAGTGAGCTGTTGGTAGCTTCCATAGGACACCATGGGATAAACACGAAGTTCATGTATATTCAAATGACCTCTCCCTGCTGACTGGACAGTCAACTTGCTTACCCAGATCTGATTAAGTAAGTTATCATGATAACTGGGCTGTTTGAACAGGCGGTTCTTAGGCAGATTCTCATGAAGTTTAAAATCATGGCAACACCAGAGGTCACTTCATTGAAGTAATGCATTTATAACATACATACCTCTTTTGTTTGATTTGCTTTAGCAACTGCATCCTGTGTTAGGCGCTCCTGAACCAAAATGCGAATTGCCTAAGGAACCCAAAAGGGGACAAAATTGTATCTAGCATTAGAATGTTATAAAGCTTTTTGTTAGAGCTGACACTTTTTCCTACTCGTTTTTTGAAGTCTAAGAAAAGCATTCCAAATATGCTATGCATTTGTTCCTCCTCTCATTTAGTTTATGACTAATCTAACAGGACCATTGTATAACTATTCCAAGGAAATTTACATACTTATTTGAATAAAGAACAAGTCTCTGAAATAGCAGTATTTCAAATAAAAACAACTTTTTGTCTTTTGGCATCCAATCTGGGCTGAGAAGATCCAAGTTAACATTCAGATTCAGTATAGAGAATTGTAATGAGCCAAGAATAGAACAGTATTTCCCTTGTTAGAACTGCCATTTAACACAGAGAATTCTAAAATGTAGCATAAGTTATACTTTACTCTCTTCTGGATAGAGTGAAATTGTAGCTAATTCATTGTGAAATAGTTTACAATAATTTTCATGCAAAGGTCTAGACAAAAGCTTTACTCTCTTATAAAATCAATAATTTCTAGGATAACTTCCAAGCTAGTTCTTAAGTATTCCCCATCTTGCTCTACCACTGTACTTGGAGAAATATTAGGAATACCTTTTCTTATTCCTATTTTTCTTTCTATTTTTCTATCTTCCAGAACTAAGAGAGCTTTCCCAAAGTCAAGTAATGCATTTAGGAAGGGGTACTAAAGGCAGAAGCATTCATTTCCTAAAGAGATTTAGGTGTGTGTTAGTGAGGATTGATGAAATTGAGGTAAGGTAATGTACAAAATAAGACAGACTGTAAGGTCAGAGTACCTAGATTCATTTCCTGCATCCCCTCTTCTAAAGTCTCAGTATCTTCATATGCTTTTCGGTTTTTTTTTTTTTGGTCCGGTCGTGGGGCCTGAACTCTGGGCCTGGGCACTGTCCCTCAGCTCTTCAGCTCAAGGCTAGTGCTCTACCACTTGAGCCACAGCGCCACTTCCGGCTTTTTTATTCTTTTTGGCTTATGTGGTGCTGAGGAATCGAACCCAGGGCCTCATGCATGCAAGGCAAGCGCTCTACCACTGAACCACCTTCCCAGCCCATCTTTTTTTTTTTTTTTAGACATTATTACTTCCATCTATGCTTACTGGAATGGTTGGAGATTACCTTTGAAATGATTCAACACAAATGGTAGGCATATAGTTAATAGTCTAATTTTAAACATCAATATTTTAAAGATTTTTCTCTATATACAGTTTTTGTTAAGACTCAAAAATATGAAGCTCACCTTAAGCATTACCAGGTAATCATCATGACGCTGAATCTGAAGAAGGTTAGCCAAAGCCATCACACCAGCCTTAAAATCAGGATTATTTACTGGGAAAGATGAAAAATAAACAAAAAAACTGAACTTCTGCAAAAATATAACTGCATATTTGTGAAACTAAGAACTTACAGAAAACATTTTTAAAATTTCTAGTTACAAGTTCAGTGATTAGGTAAGACAAATGGTTTCCCTGTTAAAACACTTTCATCAGCTAAAGTTGAGGAACTTGGTGAAGGATTAATTTAAATTTAACTCACATAAGCATTGTCCTGTAACTGTCTAGGAAAAAAAAATCCATTTACATGGCCCTTTTAATTAACATCTCTTCCCAAAGCTATTAATTTTCATACATAGATCCCTTTAGCGGACAGTTTTCCCCAAACCTTTTCTCTAAGCAGTGGCTCTGGATTGCCCTAGAAGCGTACTCATTTATAAAGATAACTCATAAATTATAGGTCTTAATGAATTAGCCAGTAAAAGCATATTTAACATATCATAATCCATATAATTAGAATCTTCTTGGTTTAAAAAGGAAAAATTACTAAAAGACATGGGATTTAGAATAATGAGTAATTTTTTCACTTGTCTCATACTGTCAAGGGATTAAAAAGAATTTATACACCCAGGAAGACAAACAATGACTCGCATGATTAGATATAAATCAAACCCCAAATTACTTGAAGCATATCAAAGAGCACACTAACAAGTATTCAATTGGAAGATGAGAAGCACTCTGTATCTGATACTACAACATTATGGAGAATAAAATGTAAATAAACATCACTGCTGTCTACAGGAAGCATTCTTAACTTACAAGAGCCAACTTAAACTTGGACTTCACTCTTATCAAGTTAAAGCAAAGGCAATCTGTTTTATACATTTATATACTCACCATCCAAATTGGCTAATGGCTCTGCATTTTTAGTTGCATTGTCAGTATTTTTTGCATTATCAGCTACTAAGTCCTTGTACTTTTCAGCTAAAAACACAAGCAAAAAGACAATTTGTAGACCTGTAACTTAAGGCAAAAACAGAGTGCTCATAGAATTTAATTAAGCTAAACTAATAATTATAAGTGTAAGATATCTCATCTAGTCAAAATTACTTTTTCAGTTAAAACTTTTTAACCCTTACAGAAGACGTGATTGTAGTTTTGTAATTAAGTGTCTGCCTAAAATTCATGAGGCCCTGAGTTCGATTCCTCAGTACCACATAAACAGAAAAGGCCAGAGGGGGCGCTGTGGTTCAAGTGGTAGAGCGCTAGCTTTGAACAAAAAGAGCTCAGGGACAGTGCCCATGCCGAGGTTCAAGCCCCAGGACTTGCCAAAAAAAAAAGAGAAATTAAATATCTCATTTTAGTGTTGACACATGCCAGTACTGGGGCTTGAACTCAGAGCTTCACACTCTTGCTTAGTTCTTCTTCTTTGCTCCAGATTGACACCTGAACCACACCTCCACGTGCAAGCATCTACACTGTAGGAGGGAAAAAAAAACCCTGTTTTACAGTTCTCACTATAACTTGAGTCAGAAGAATGAAAGAGGGAAAGCACAGGTTACAGATGTTTTATGTAAGTTTTCCCCCAAAAAATCTTCCGAATACTATATAGGGAACCTAAAATCTTGGCTTATAAAAAAAAGTTATCAAATGTAGTATTATATATAAATCTAAAACTTGTTTCATGGAAACTCAAAATTTAAAAGGTAGGTCACTATCATTTGAAAAATATTTAGAAATAAAGTTAATGACAAAACTGGCGCATCTTTGGCTGTTTATGATTTGCTGATGAAACAATGAAAACGTAGTTTTAAAATTTAAGTCACACAAGCATTAGGCTACAGGGGCCCAATCTGGAATGGTATAAAATTAGGACAGATGGTCACAGAAAAGGATCACAACTACTAAGTAAAATAAAAATCTGTATCTACAACTGATTTAAATAAATGGAAGTAGAGAAAGCTCCTCAGGGTAGAAAGCCAACAAATAAATGTTGAAGGAATGATGGTTCTGGGAAAACACCTTCTAGGAACTATCCTAACAAATTCAGGCAATAATCACTGAATGAGTTATAAAATAGGAGAAGTTTGAGGAGCAAAAGCAACTCCAACCGTCTTAAAGTTATCTCTCACAGATAATCAAGTGATCAAAAGTTAAGATGACTAGTAATATCATAATCCTCCTGCACTTCAAAGAACACATCACCTCTGTGTTACTTCTAAATAAAGCATAAACCTTGAGTCTAATCATGAGAAAGTATCACACAAACCCAACATGGACATTCTCAAAATAAATTTCAGTGTCATGAAGCCTAAGTCAACACTGGGGAAATGTTCCAGATTAGAAACCAAAGACAAACTGAATGCAATACATCATACAATATTGCATTACATTTTTTTTTTGTAAAAAAAAGAAATATTGAGAGATGTAGGGAAGGGTGTTTACAAACAACATTATTAGGACAATTAGTGAAAATGCTGCATTTTATCAGAGTTAATTTCCCAATCATTATACTGTGTGACAAAGTCATTTTTAGGTATTACATGTTGAAATACATAAGGGTCAAAGGGAATTATTTTTAATTTACTATCCAACAGTTCAGAAAAGCCTATCTATATATTTGTATATGTATACAGAAAGGAAAAAAAAGTAAAGGAAATAACATGCTAAAGTTGCAGAATTTGGGAAAATGAAAGTTCTTTATAGTATAATTTTCCTATAAATTAAAGTGAGAGAAACTTCAGAGTCTAATTATATTAATGGACAAACTAGAAAAAAGCTTTAAATAATGACAGGACACAATAAAAATTCACAATAGTTGCAGCAAATTTAAGGAACTGTAAGAAGATAGCAGCATCAATGTAAAGCTTTAAAAGAACACTAGTGCCTCCTACTGATAAGAAACAGCATTACAACTTTAAATCATTTCCAAGTCTTGAAATCTGTTTTTAAAACTTGCTTTCTCCTTTAGCTTTTAAATTCACTTTTGATACCATTTGCCCTTTAACTATATACTGATTTCCTTTTTCAATCTAAAACAATTACTCTATTTTACATACATGATTCTTTAATTCACTAAAAAGATGGTGCTATTACTGAGAAATAAATGTTTGTGTAGTTTTTGGGCACACAACCAGATGGCACCAACCACAGAAGGTTGAGGAATTATAAAAGTGGAGCAAATGAATGAACAAATGAAAAACAAATATACCAACAAGTGACTACAAATTTATTTGGGAATAGATGAAAAATCTGGTAGAGAATACTTTATTGCAAATTAACTCACAGATAGTTTTTAATCAATCCATAGCAGGATAGGTTAAAAATACCTTTTTAAAGGTCCTAAGCACCAAGTAACGCTACCTAGACCACAGGCTTGTATTTATTTTTTGCTGGAACAGAAAACACAGGTATCTTCTTTGTAAACTCAAACTGAAAGAAAACACCCTCCCAATTAGTTTTTCTTGAAATTGCTGAAGTTGATCAGGAACCATTATATACAAGACACTACATCAGGACAGTGGGCAATCAAGAAGTCTGTCTGTTCCCTGCCCCAACCATGTCTACCTCAACACCTGGAACCTGTTTCTGTTACCTTACTTACCAAAAAGGACTTGTACATTTGATAAAAGAAGGATCCTAAGACAGAAAGATCATCTAGGAAGGCCCATTCTCATCTATCCTTATAGGAGGGAGGCAGAGGAACCAGTCAGAGAAAAGGACTGTTGAGTACAGGAGTTTTTATCTTTCTTGCTGCTGTTTTTATTTTTTGTCAGTCATGGGGCTTGAACTCTGGGTCTGGGCGCTGTCCCTGAGCTCTTCAACTCAAGGCTAATGCTCTACCACTTGAGTCACAGCACCACCTCCTTGCTGTTGTTTTTAATGTACTTATAATGTGCTATGTGATTTTTTTGTTTCTTTTGTATGTTCTACCCCCATTATATAACCCCTGTTTTCACTGTACTTGATTCTGGTGCCCTATATCTTGTATATACTTTTTTCTAATTTGGGGAGGGGAAGGGAAATAACAAAATGCTGAAATAAGGACACAGGTTGACCCACTGTATCAATGAGATGTACCAGACACTATGTTGAAAACGAACTTTACAACTTGGGGGTGGGACAATGGGGGGGGGGGGGCGTTGGGGAAGTGGGAAGGGAAGGAATGGTAGGGGAAAAACAAAGGTGAGGGTAACAGTACTCGATAGGAAATGTACTCATTACTCATGTAACTGTAACCCTCTCTAGAGTATCTTTACAATGAAAAATGTTAATAAAAAGAGTATCGTAAGAAAAAAAAAAAGGACCATTGAGAAAGGCAGAGAACACCTGGAAGATGCTATGCTGCTACATTTGAAGATGGAAGAAGGGGCTGGAGTCAAGGCAGAGAGGCCCAAGAAGTTGGAAAACACATATCTCCCCCATGGTATAACCCCTGTTTTCACTGTATTTAATGTTGGTATAATTTGTGGAGGGGAAGGGAAAAAACAAATTGTTTAAACAGGGATACAGGTGGACCCATTACAACAATGAGATGTACAAGATGCTATGTTGAAAAACGAACTGTACAACTCTAGCTGGGTTGGGGGGGCGGGGGGCAGAGTAGGCATGGAGATGGGAGGATGAGAGGGGAAAAAACAAAGGAGGAGGCAACAATGCTTGGTAAGAAACGTATTCATTACCTTGCTCATGTAATTGTAACCCCTCTGTACGATATTTTCACAAAACTTACTAAAAAACCAACAAAAAAACCCCACATAAAAAGATTTTCCCTACAGTATAAGGCTTATGGCCTCCAAAAGAAATCAGCTCTGCTGACCAAGTTGCCTTGAGCCTAGCGAGACAGATGTTGGTATTCAGATTCCAAAAAAAGATAGTAAATTAGGATTTAAGTCACTGAGTTTGTAGTCATTTATAACTAAGATTGCATGCAAGAAACAAAGGCTTACAAAATTTCCTGGGGAACCTCAGACACAGAAACAAAATGGAAAGTGGAAAATGACTTTGTAGGCATAGAATTAAACACTGACAGCTCAGAGGGAACTATTACTGTTGCTAAGGCAGCATTTGAGCTGTATCTTTAAAAGCTGGATATAAAATTTAGTTGTCTAGGTAGACTGAAATACCAGGCTAAAGAGCTTAAGGTTCCTTTTGCTTTTAAATATGTAACTGAAGCTGTTCTTTGGAAACAAGAAGTAACATTCTAAAACAGATTCGTGTCCATGGCTATCCCTCTCTAAAAACACCCAATCGTGGTCTGACACAGACTCCCATTTCAGCAAGTCAGTTAGTGGGCTCTGCTGATGAGCACAGAGGGTGACTCCAGCAATAGACTGGAAGATAGCAGAATCAGCTTGAGACTGCAATGAGATCAGAGAAGATACATTAGGCATAAAGAAAGGCCAATGGTGGCAGGAGGGGAGAGAAAGAGAAGCCAAAGAGGTTTCAAAGCTAATGACTGAAGGACTAGATGATGATACCATAAAAGTGAAAAACACAGCCCCAAAAGGATAGATATAATATGATCCAATCTTAACCTTAGATGTGGGCAGGCCTTTCAAAACTGAAAGTCTAATGAGAGGAAACGCATTTACTGAAAACTTATCCTTTCTACAAGGACTAGTATTCAAAAGCTCCCAATGACAAAAGAATGTGTGGTGAGACAAACATGAAACTACACACTGGCATCTGCCACACTGCACTCTCCTTTCCAATAACTGCTACAACCTAATTTCCAAAACCCTGTCAACTCAGGACAATAGCAATCATGGAACTAAAGAGGTTAAGGTTCAGCCTGAGAAAGAAGCAAATTTAGGAACACAATGTTACTTTGTTGAGAAGGTAGTCAATTAGCCATCTCCATAAAACATCATTTCCAAATTCTAAAAGAAAAATATAAATGTCAATGAAAGACAATAAAGTGTTTTTATTTCTTGTGATAAAAATGAGCCAAAGGTTAAACACTGTAGGACAAAGAAACAATTTACATTTTCACACTGCTTTCCTACCTTTGCTCTCTTCAAAATAACACATTCCCACAAAACATACCATTATCTCCATATTCAAGCCGAACAGCTAACCCAAGAAGCCAGTCAATTGCTTCTTGTCGATCCTGAATCTTGAAAGGACAGTTAACATCTCTGAGATACTGTGAAAAGAAAAAAAAGCAAAGCACAACTTAATTTCATTACAACAAATAAATGAATGGTACCTTAGAGAACTTAAGAGACCTTACAGAGATCTCTGAGAGAGTGAGACAGAGGGAGAGAGAGAGAGAGACAGAGAGAAAAGAAAGAAAGAAAGAAAGAAAAAAAGAAAGAAAGGAAGGAAGGAAGGAAGGAAGCAAAGCAAGAATTCAGTACAGAGGTATAAAGTCAGGGCTTTGAGCTTACTCAGCTGGTACTCTACCAGTTGAGCTATACCCAACCTTTTGGTAAGTTAGTGGGAAATGATTCTAATAGACTTTCCTGCCTGGGCTGGCTTAGAACCTAGATCCTCTGGATCTCAGCCTCTAGAGGTGCTGCTATGATTGAGCTGCTATCAGTGACTCTTCCTTTCACAGTTCTGTTACTAAATTGTTGATGCAACTATTAAAAGGAAATACTTCAGCGTAACCTCTTAATAAGCAAAATACTTCCATCATGCTTTTTTTTCTTTCTTTTGTTCAGCAGTAGTGGGATTTGAACCCAGGGCCTCATGCTTAGTACTCTGGTGTCATACTACAAATAAAGCATGTTTCTAGTCCTGAATTCACTGGTTATTTTTAGGATAGGGTCTCACTTCCTGCCCACAAGCACACAAGGCACAACCTTGATTACTTTTAGGCCTCCGTTCCTTGCTAGGATTACAAATGTGTGCCCCAAATCCAGTTTACAGGGTCATAAGGGGTCTCCCATGAACTTTTCTACACAGGCTGGCACAATCTTACTGCTTTCAGCCTCTCAAGAAGCTAGAATTACAATTGTGAGCCACCAGTGCTGGAATGTATCATGCTTAATTTTTTTTTTCTTAACTTCTGTATCAGAACATCTGGGATCTAAAATTATCCCATTTTACAGATGAGAAAACTGAGCATGGAGAGATTTAATACTTGCCAGTGGTTATATTACATAAAATTTAGAATCTAAACCTTGATTCCAGGTCTCAATACACACAGCACCAATCAACACAAAAGTCAGTTTTTAGAAAAAGACATATAAATAAGTCATATAATATAAATAAATGTCTACTTTCATATTTTGCACATGTCACTAAATAGAGTAACCCATGTAACAAATATAGCCTATAAGTACTCGAAGCTGTTTCCAAGAAAGTGGTACCCTTCGTTTTTAAAGATGTAACTCATGTTCTAACAGGAATTACAAGAGATGTTTTCAAACATGCTTTAAGCAATGGGACTACCATTCAAGACAGAGCAAATTGATAATACCTCTTTGCTAAGTTATTTTACTTTATAGTTACCTGTGGGTGTTTTATGTCAGAAAACAATTTTTAAAGTTATTTGTTTTTATTTTTGTGGTGCTGGGAATGAATCCAGGATCTCACACATAGTAGGCAAACCCTCTACTGGCTACATCACCAGTCCCCCAAATTTTAATATTCTTCAAACTGCCTTCTACATATGAAACTTCATTTTTATATTTTTCAAATATCCTAATGCATGTGTATTACCTTACACACGAGTGGTTACAAAATCTCAATATAATATACTTCAAAGTCTTAAGGACACTCAACATTTCAGAATTATTATTATTTTTTTGTCAGTCATGGCGCTTGAATTGTGGGCTTGGGCACTGTCCCTGTGCTTTTCAGGTCAAGGCAAGCGCTCTACCATTTGAGCCACAGCGCTACTTCTGGTTTTCTGGTAGTTTACTGGAGATAGGAGTCTCAAGGACTTTCTTGCCCAGGCTGGCTTTGAACCCTGATCCTCAGAATCCAGCCTCCTGAGTAGCTAGGATTACAGGTGTGAGCCACTGGCGCCTGGCATATTTCAGAAATATTTTTAAGGGCAAAAAGAAAGAAGCAGAAACAGTGGCAATCATAAGCAAGTAAAACCTGCTGTGGGCGGGTAACTTCTGTAAGCAATGGTATATCACTCATTAACAAAGTCACTTCTATGAGTACCACAGCTACACCTATTTATTGAGATAATGGAGACAGAAAGGCTCATCAAGTTGCCCAGGGTCAACTGTTCTGTTTAACCACAGAACAACTTGAAACATAAAAATCACCAACTTTAAAGAGAAAGTTAGGCTCAGAATTGCTTTGCTTTTACCCCTCGGAGGAATATGAAGAAAATGTGTAGGGGTAGTCTTTTTTTTTTTTTTTTGCCAGTCCTGGGATTTGAACTGTGGGCCTGGGTGCTGTCCCTGAGGTCCTTTGGCTCTAGGCTAGCACTCTACCACTTGAGCCAATGTGCTACTTCCAGCTTTTTCTGTGATAAATTGGAGGTAAGAGTCTCATGGGCTTTCCTGCTAAGTCTGACTTTGAACCATGATCTTTGGATCTCAGCATGCTGAGTAGCTGGGATTATAGGTGTGAGCCACTGGCTAAGCTGAAGACGATTCTTTCTGTAAATTTTTATTACTAAAATTAAACCTATGGAAAACTTATTCTAGTCACAAAAATAGTACACGCAGGCTGTTTTAGCACTATCATAAATGTGGACACCTGTGTGCATTAAATATGGCAAACGACTTCATTTTCAAGCACAGGAAGTGGTGCTGTGGCTCAAAGGAGTAGAGTCCCTTGACTGAAAAAGCTCAGGGATAGCACCTAGGCCCTGAGTTCAAACCCCAAAACCGACAAAAAACAACATGAAAAGTTAAAAAAAACTCAAGCATATCAGTAATATCTTTCAATATAAAAGATAATACTAAAATGAATTATTGCAGCATTTTCTTGTCCAATGTAAGATTTCTGATTTGGGCTGCTAGCTGAACAAAAACTATTTTCCATTTATAGTATACCACTATTTAAGAAACTTCACAATGTTTTTAAAGGAGACCATTTCTACCTAAATACTGAAAGGCTGGCAGACAGAGTAATTTTCTCTAAAAATCCTAATGCCTCAAATCAGCTTTATTAACAGTAACAATAAAAGGAATTTTAAACTCACCTTCAAGTAGTTTTTAGAAAAGCTCTCTGTGCTTATTTTTACTTTCTAATGCATTACCTTTTCAAAGAATTTGGGCCAGTCACTGCTGTGGATGTTTCTTAAATTTCCTCTGTCTTCAATCTTGTAGTGCCTTATTTTCTGATCTTCAAGCCAGACAATAAAGTTTCTAAATTCAGCTTCATCTGCAACAAAAACATAAAAAAAAAAATCACTACAAGTATTACAATGAAATACTTCTTTTTCCACAGATGGTCTTGTGAAATTTTCTTAACCTCTAACTGAGCCTATCACCAGTGGCTCACACCCATAATCCCAAGTACTCAGAAGGCTGAGCCAAGCCAGAGCAGGAAAGTACATAAGACTCTCATCTCCAATTTGCCAGAGCTGGAAGTGGAGGTGTGGGTCAAGTGGTAGAGCACCAGCCTTGAGTCACACAAGTGTGAGGCCTCAAGTTCAAGCCCCAGTACAGGCACAAAAACCACACACACAAAAAAAACCCTACAAAACAAGGACTCCCTCCAACCACAGCCAACAGAATTAGGAATTGAAGGTACAGCCCCCCCCAGAGGCAGAGATTTAGTCTATTCAAATCATGAATGAATTAAATTCTGGATATTGACACTAGTTGTGTAAACATGAACTTACTCACATTTTCTGTGTTTCAGGTATTTCTGGGGCATTAAGAGGATAATACCAGGCCTTTTCTCAGTTTCCAGTGGTACGTGAAAAATGCCTAAACAGTACATGGCATGTAGTTTCGCTATCTAAGTGTTATTAACATTCCAGTTATTTTTTTTGAGGGAGTCTGGGCAAGTTCATAGGTACACCAAGTAATAATGAACTAAATAAAACAATAAAAAAAAACTAAGTACAAGACCATATGATACAAACTCACAAAAACTGGAGACGGCACGACTGTGGTCATGAATGTTATCTGAATATTAAGTGTGTGTTATCTAATCTTCCCGGCCCCTTTGGATATACACAATAGCCTCGTGTTACAAGTCAGGAAAGAGAAACTCAAAAGATTCCAATTCAAATCTAAAGCTCTAGGCCATGGATCCTGCTTTTGTTCTTAGACAAGGCACAAGACAAAACAAGATTTTGCTAAAACGTAAATATGCTTCTACGGGCGGATTTAGCCTGCTCTGAGATTGTTTTCTATTTGTGAGTCTTACACACTGGTAGGCGTACTCTCATCAAGTTGCACTGTCAAAACTTTCTAGTCTACAACTACAGAAAGAGCAGCAAGGAGCAGTAGAGTGTGATCGCTAAGTAGTGGGGGGTATTACTTAAAAAAAAGTTAACGCAGTACAATGCCAAACACCTCCCCGGGCATCTACTGTGAACTTTTTAAGCCCCTCTACCTTGTGGGTGTTTTTTGTTTTGTTTTGCACGGCTCTGGTGGCTTTCTTCACGCGTGGCTGTCCACGCTCTGGCTCTGGAGACCTGCTGGCTTCGGCTCCGGGCCCGTCGTGCACTTAGCCAGCAAGTGATTCAGCCCCATCCCCCCCAAAGAGCACGCGGGGGCTGGGGGGGGGGCGCGGGTGCTCCATTCTGGGGGACCCCAGAGAACAACCCGCAGGAGGGCGATGGCTTTCGGGGCGCGGAGGGGCCTGGGGGTGGAGATGGGAGCTGGGAGTTTGCCAAGTGCAGAAGAAAGTGGCGCTGCCGGGGCGGGACGGGGTGAAGGGGGCTCGGGGCGATGGCCCCCCGGAGGGCCGCAGTCCCGCGGAGAGAATAAGGCCGCTGGGGTCCGGGCGGGGAGGTGTGGTGGGGCGGGCGCGAAGGGAGGGGGACCGCCGCTCGGGTCAGGGCCACGCGGCCGGCCCGGGCCACCGACTCACCTTTGCAGTTGAAGCCGGCGGGGTTGTGGTAATCAAGAGCTGTCAGCTTACGTCGGAACATGGTCCCCGCTTCTCGCTGGGGGTCCCCCCGGGCCTCCGCCGGGAGAGGAGAAGCGAGGTGGAGCGAGCGGCTCAGGCACCGGCGACGCGGCGAGAGGGCGGGCTGGCGCCGGAGACGCTTCGGAGTGACAGGAGCCTGCGCCAATCGTATCGCAAAGTTGTTGGCCCTCGGTAAATATTCACCAATCACAGCTCCTTCTGGGAAGGCGGGGTCACGTCGCCGCACGTCGACGCTCAAATAAACTTTATTGTCAGCTTCCTAGTTGTACAATAGGCAGGAATCCTGTTGTGGGCAGGTAGTTTGGACTGGTCTTTTCTCACTTCTTGGTGCAGAATTCAGAGAATGCTATCTTCAAGTTTTCTGCTCCTGGCTACGTCTGTCCTTGGATCATAGAATACCTGCTTAGTATTTTTAATGTATTCACCCATTCATGTATTTACTGCTCCTCCTACATTGCTTTTCTAACTGCTAGTACGAACAGGTCCTTGAAGCAAGTTAGGGATTAGTTGAGAGTGATCCACAGATAAGATGCAACAATAATACTATAGCTTCGAATATCACTAGCTAGAGTGAAGGCAGAAACTGGGATCATCTCTACCTCCCTTAAACCTTCAGTACACACCTAGTAGCAACTTCTGCCGTCCAGTTTCTTATCTCTCAAAACAATCTGGCGTGGCTGGTGCCGCCTGCTTTTACGTGGAGGCTCCCCTGGAGGCTGAGAGCTGAAGATACCGGTTCAAAGCCAGTTCAGGAGGAAAGTATATGAGAGGTAGTCACCAGCCTTGAGCAGTGTCCAGGTCTTGAATTCAAGGCCCAGTACACACACACACACACACACACACACACACACACACGTAAATAAAAAAAAATATATGAGCTATGGCTTCAAGAGTTGAGTTCATTCTGCAGTGAAAATAATAACTTACTTTGAGGGAAGACAATTACAAAACAAGCAATGAATAACAATATGGCACAGGTAGCTAGAACTTCTGGGGCGGTGAGATGGGAGAGAGCAACAGCTAGTGAGATCACAAACGGGCTTGATCAAGAAAGGCCTTGCTCAGGCAGCTGAAGGCAAGTATTGAAGCTCTGGCGGGGAGGGGAGGAGAGGGTTAGCAGCAGAGGGTAAACTCAGCATCTGGGAGGCATACAAGGAGTAAGCTGTAGAAAGCCATTTTCAGGAAGTTTATGTATACTAACAAGCCATTTTCAGGAAGTTTATGTATACTAACAAGTACAGATGTGCAAATAAATGCTTGCAATCTACAGTTAGGAAGTGATGAAAGTACAAAGCATATTATAAAGCCAGAGTATGGCTTTAAAGAGATAGTATGAGATAATCTGTGTTTTCCAATTAAGTTGCTTACAGTAAATCAAGAATCCTAGTTCAAGAGTTTTGCTTCCAACAGAATGTGACCAAAGATGCAGCTATAATCACAGACTATCTTGCAGCCTAGTTGAATAATTAATAAAATATTAGGCAAAATATCAGAAGAGAGATCCGGGAAGGGAAAATAACAGGTGAATATTCATGAGCAATTGCAGATAATGCATTTGTTAAAAGTAGAGATCGTTCTTACCATTTGTTTTCTGACACTGACCCTTTTGTGCAACATCTAAGTGGTTTGTTCAAGGTTTAGTGTTTATTTTTCAACTTCACTAGTTGTCATCTACTTAAAATTGTCCCTAATCATCAGCTCTGGCCACCCACATGTCTAAGGAGGTTGGAGGAAGATTCAGACACAAGATGCTGAAGGGACTTGAACAGGGGAATAAAATATATTTGGGGAAATAAGTATAAAAGATTATAAATAGTCAATGTTTTGTGTTAAAAAATTCTATTTGCCTTTCTTCTCTTCAGCATTTGGAAGCTTTTTGGGACCATCAAAATGAAGCATCTGACTCAACTGTGTCCCAAACAGTCTTCCAGGCACTTTGGAACCATGTGTACCTCCCTATGGAACATTCCTTGACCTCTGGGAGTATGACACCTGCCAAGAGAAGACAAATAATATAATAATATATCAATTATTTACTATTTTAGAAGGTAATGAGAACCATGGGGAAATCATAATGAGGTAAAGAAAGTAGAGAATGGGGCGAGGAGGGGAAGGAAATGGAGCTGTAACTCAAGTGGTAGAGTGTTAATCCACAGAAAGTCAGGAATGGTGCCCAGGCCCTGAATTCAAGCCCTACATAGAGAGAGGGGGGGCGGGGGGGGGGGGGGGGGGGGGGCGGGGGGGGGGGGGGGAGCTTTGTCATCATCAAGTATACAATGCTGGGAAATCCAAGGAAGATTGGAGTGGTAAGAGAATATGAATGAGGTGGAGATTTGCCTGTTAAGGGAGGAAAAGTGAGAGTACAGGCTGAGTATGTCTTGTTTGAAGTGCTTGACCAGAAGTGTTTCAGATTTTGGATTTTGTTGAATAAACATAAGGAGGTATCTGGGGATGGGATGGGATCCAAATGTAAATATGAAATATTCATGTTTCATATGTACCTTATTACACCTAGCCTGAAGATAATTTTATATAATACATTTAGGACACTTGTGTTTGGACCACACCTTGTCATTTGAAGTTAGGTGTAGAAATTTCCACTTGCAGATTGTTTTTTTTTTTGATTAGGGATACATATCCTATAATAGAAGGGCAGAGTCTCACACAGGCTTTATTCTATAAATATAGCAAGTCAAAGGATGTCGCAAACAGGAGTGATACTGTGATTTGGGTTGTAAGATCTTCCTGGCTGCTGTGTGGAGAACAGGATGTAGCTGCTGAGAGGGAGAAGCTGGAAGGCCAACTTTGGAGGCTATTGTGGCGGCTATGGGAGCAGTGGTGGAAATGTCAAGAGCTATGTGCATTGTCTAGAATGGAAGAGTGTATCCAGGTTCTCTGTCTCAGATTGCCCTGGACTCTTTTCAGCTGATTACTGGGCGTCATGGAGAATTAATTGCATGAACTATCTACTATCACAGTTCTCTTTCTCTCTACTCTTCAGCATTCCCAGAAAACTTGGGATCCACAGCTATGTAGATCATTTTTCAATTACAGAAAAACAAATTCTTAGGAAAAAAAAGAGGGAAATATAGCTGCCATCAAGACAGATTTTACCAGGTGCAGGTGGCTCACACCTGTAATCTTAGTGACTTAGGAGGCTGAGACCGAAGATTGAGGTTCAAAGCCAGCCCAGGCAGCAAAATCCATGAGACCCTAATCTCCAATTAAACCAGCAAAAAGGCAGAAGTGAAGCTGTGGTTCAAGTGATAGAGTACCAATCTTGAGTGAAAAACCTAAAGAATAGCACATAGGTCCTGAGTTCAAGTCCTAGTACACACACACACACACACACACACACACAGACACACACACTTAACAAAAAAGGTATAGCTGGGCACTGGTGGCTCATGCCCATAACCCTAGCTACTCAGGAGGCTGAGATCTGAGAATTGCGGTTCAAAGCCAGCCAGGGCAGGAAAGTCCATGAGACTCTTATTTCCAATTAACCATCAGAAAACCAGAAGGGGGCTATGGCGCACCCAGGGACAGCACCCAGGCCCAGAGTTCAAGACCCAGGGCTGACAAAAAAGAAAGAAAAAAACAAAAACAAAAAGATAGATTTTTCTGGCTCATCAATGTGATTAAATTCCAACAGGTTTTTCAGTAAGATGTGGACCCCAGTTCCTCTCTTCAGTTCAGAAAAATTATGGTGGTTTCTCTAGTTCTTAAAAGCCTTCCTGAAAAAATGCATGTGCAATTATGTTGGGGTTTAATAATAAAGAAGAAAAATGGTTGCCCTTTAGACTCATTAGCACATGAACACTTTTTGGCTCTTTGGTTTTTCATGTTTGCTGGACTGTTCCAACTTAAGCTTCAGCAGCTCAGAGCAGCTACCTCCTGGGAATTCAGTCTCAGAACCCAAGGCTCCATGCTGGGCCCAGGTATTAGCGAATGCCTAGAAAACACAATTGCTCTATCCTTTTCTTCCAACTATAATCATTTAGCTTCCCTGATGGTCTTGGTGGAACCTGAGACCTGACTTCATTGGTTCCACTAATGACTCTGTAGGAATAAATAATTTAGATTGCTAATGAGGGTTTGAGCTATTTTCCCCACTGAGCCCAACTTTTTGGCAGCATTAGACTTTAGAGCTCCATGCAAGTGTGTGTTTCTAAAACTCCTGCCATCTTTTCCTCATTATGGAGAAATACGTGGATTTGGTTTTCAGAACAGGGTAAATCTCCCACTAAGAGGCTGTCTTTGATAAGCACTCCTGGAAAATAAAGTAGGCCTTCATCCATCATTCAGACCATTGCTGAAGAGCATGATCCAAAACAGTCCATGACAGACCTAATTTCTGCTTTCAACCTTCTATGGCCAAAGACAAAAAGTAAGTCATTAGCAATTTATGGTGCATCCATTAGGATCCCACTTTGTGATTGCTCCAGAATTTTATGAACGTTCAAAATTCCACAGAGTGGGAGACAGAGAGGAAAGCAGTTAAGTGCCTTCATTGTCTCTCTCTGGCATCCCCTCCGATGCACTCAGTTTTATGCCATCCTCAGTTGCTGGGGCCCAGGTCATTGCATTGCTAAGTCCCTTACACTGCCATCGGCCACACAGGAACATAAGATGACCTCTTGCACATGACATTCTTCTGAGGGCCTCTAGGGCCCAGGAGACATTGATACTCTGCCACTGTGTGGCCAGTGAAACTGAGCAGTACAACCTTTTTTTTTTTTTTTTTTTTGCCAGTCCTGAGATTTGAACTCAAGGGCCCGGGCACTGTCCCTTGGCTTCTTTTGCTCAAGGCTAGCACTCTACCACTTGAGTCACAGCGCCACTTCCGGCTTTTTCTGTGTATGTGGTACTGAGGAATTGAACCCAGGGCTTCATGCATGCTAGGCAAGCACTCTACCACTAAGCTACATTCCCAGCCCCCAAGCAGCACAACCTTATCTGTTTGCCTCAAAGAATTTGCAAACGAAGCCGGGCGCTGGTGGCTCACGCCTGTAATCCTAGCTACTCAGGAGGCTGAGATCTGAGGATCGCGGTTCAAAGCCAGCCCGGGCAGGAGAGACCGTGAGACTCCTATCTCCAATAAGC